CGGGGATTGAACCCGGGACATTCTACTAGGAAGATCAAGCGAAACTCGTCAATCCATTGCGAAGCAGACACCATACCACTAGATCATTCGCCCGCGTTGAATACTCTGATTAGACTTGCTATTATAACCTTCGAAACAATTTGATTTTCCTTTTTTTTTTCTTGAAATGGCTTTCAAGAGCTCTTCTCACCAGGCTGTAATGTGCGACACGACTGATGTGGCGTCTACGTCAACCGGCCATTCTACAACTCTCTTTGGTTTCCCAGATATGCCACTTCGCTGGTGCACTCGCATCTATACCGAATAATAATTTCTCAACCCCCTGCATGTGGTTCCAGTACCACATGTCCACTCTCTCTTTATCCTCTCCGTGCTATCCTTGGAGCCTCAAGTCCACTGTGGCACTGCCACCCGAACTCAACGATCCGCCCCGAGACTTATCCGATTGGCGACTGGCTGGTGGCGCAAGCAGTCAGATTAGATCCCACTCTATCACTGTGGCTCACCCTCGGCCCTAAGTTTTGAGCATCCAGAAAACAGAGCACATGTAGCAGCTGGATCAGAGGCAAGCAACTTTCTGGACAGAGACTGCAATAAATTCGTCGGGGACTACCTTCTCAGAGATACTGCGATTATATGCGTGAATAGTACTCGTGCGATGCGAGAAGAGTTTGGCACACAAAATCTGTACTGCGCATGTCAAACAAGAATTCTGATGACGAAAGCTGAAAACAACCTGTATTTGTTACACTTGTCGCTGCCGCCGAACGCTTCGACGGCCGTTCCTGGCGACGACCGATGGTCGGCCGGTGACAATCTTACCCTCATCGCCCGCAGGGAGCTGTGGCCAGAGGCATTCCTGGTCACCGTTGACAGCGACTGCCTGTGTAGGGGGTAGGTGAAGAGATGTGTGGCTCGGTGACAGCTTGTTCAACTCCCTGAACTCGAAGATCGGGGGTGACGTTGAAGTGGGCGAGTGGCTTCCGAAACCTGGCCTGGTCGCAAAAGTACCGGAGCACTTCGTCACACCAGCATCAGCCACAGCAACTGGGATGAAACCTCCAGATGCAACTGCACCATTGTAGAAACGTGGACAGTTGCATCGTCCGAAGTCACTGGTCTGCCTTGGCATCGCTACTGATCGCCAAATTGCGCGAGTTGAAACGTTGGAGAAGCGGCCGCCGTTTAGACTGGGCACGGAGTACCTCTGGGCACAGCTCGCGTCGGTCGATGGACGCAAGCGGGGTCAGATCCGGCCGCTGGTCGTGGGCAAGTCGCCAGTCGGAGAAGTTGCGCCGCAGATGGTTGGTCTCGACCCCTAAAAGTTGCGCTCACCATCCAGCTGAACTGACAGCCTAACACCCAAGGAGATGAATGCACAGATGATCATATATATATCTGCAAGTGCTTGCTGTGCATTCCATAGGCCTCGTCAGGCAATGCGGATGCGAGTGGCTGCGCGTGGGTGGCCCCTGGTGATGATGCATCCAGGCCAACATTAATTATGGAGGGCGACGTGCGATCCATGCCAGCGTTGAGGTGCAAGCGCTTAGAAAATAGGAATCAGCCAAAGGTTGCTGCCATTTCCCCACCCCCGCGCAGCTGCGCAAGCCGGGCAGGCCGATTATTTCTGCAGGCGGAATGGGGACATGGGGACTGCGAGAGGGGGGAGCCTGGCAGAGTTTGGCAGCAGCAATACAGGAGTACGGCGCGCGGCACTGTAACAGCGCAGATGCATGGGTTTACAATGGACTTGTTGAACGCAGTCGCCCATCATCGAATCCCCCAGCGCAGCAGCCACTCCCATGCTTTCTGCTCACTCTTACTCCTTCGGATCTTCGGTAGCTGGGCATTGCATCGTCAAGCTGAGTGAAACGGCCACGCAGGAGCGAATTGCAGCGCGGCTTTACAGCTCCCCTACACGATGGCTTCCCTGCTGCGATCGGCGGGGCCTGCAGCGCGCCAAGCGCTGGCGGTTTCCGCATCGCCCCTCGCTGCATCTTCCTCGTCGTCTTCAGTGTTGCGAACAGCAGCATTGCATACCAGTCGAGCACTCGGCAAAGACCCGCAGCTTGGAGACTACCCGGATGTCGCGTACTCGTCGCGCCAGCTGCGTAAATCGAGTCCGAAGTGGTTCGACCCGCAGGAGAAGGCAAACTATGCCGAGACGGTGAGTTGACAGTATCAAGCGCTGGTGCGCTGTCTACGCCCTCTCCTTCCGGTTGCAGACGAACGTTCCCTGATATGCTTTTCTCTACTTCCGTCTTCTTTCGAATGACCACTAGCTGCATGAGCAAGAGGACGTGCTAAGTGTCTGGGCGCCTGATCTCCACCAGAACGTCAAGCCGACCTCTGCACTCTTCCAGCTCCTGCTCGCAGCAGGGGCCGCAAGTCTCTTTGCAAGCATCATCTATGCTACTAGGCCAAGTCTTCCTGCTATGCCTAGGGTGAGTCTACGAGCTTTTCTATGATATACTGCCTCCTCTCCTGCTCAGAAGACAAAGTGGCTGATTAAGAGCGCGATCACCCCTTCCGTATGCAGTCGTATCCCCGCGACGGCCTCGCTGAAGAGCTTGGCGGCCCACAAGTAGCTGTGAGTGACACCTGACGACGACATCCTTGTAGATGAACACCAGGCCGCCTGATGCTCACATTCTGCCCGAAATTGGATTGCTTCGCAGGCGTACACTGGCGCGGAAGCGGGCGAAGTGGGGGAGGAAGTGGCTGAAGAGTAAGATAACTACTTGACAGTTGGTCATGTACGCACCTGCCAAGCCAATGAGAACCTCGTTGCAAGGCTTCCACTTCTACGGGAACATAATGTGCGATCAGGTACAACATGGTTGCAAGCGGATTCAGAAATACAAATGGCGTAGACGTGTGACTGGGAATGCAAATGCATCTCCTTTGGCCACAAAGGTTTGTTTCAATATCCATCAATCAACATCCATAGCGTCGCCCTGTCCGAATTCAACATGGCTCCATTGGACATCGCCGTCAAGCACCGGGTTGGTGCGCGTCTCGAAATCCCCCCCTTCGGCGTGCTTCGTTGCCGATAAAGTCTGCCCCATCACGTCGCCCTGAGCTGCCTCGCACGCTTGCAATGCAGCGCTGGCGGCGCTGAAATCCATAACGTTATGTATCCGCGGAGTCTGCTGCTGCTTTGTGACGCCTGCTGCGATTCTCTCGCCGGACATCTGACATGGCGCTGGCGAAGGTGTGTGGACAGATGGTGCGAAGGTGCCGCCGCCGGCGCCGATATGCGCGTTGCTCGACTGGAGTACCTCTTCAGGGCTGCGCCAGAGAACAAGCGCGTGTCCCTGGGCCGTTCCAGTCGCATCTCTCAAGTTGGGCGTCACATTACCACTGGAGCTTCTACTAGTCTGTGCGCTTGTGTTGGCGCTGGACGCACACGAGCCCGAGCTGGGCGTAGAGAGCGATTGAAAGAGGCGTGGTTTGCGGGAAAAAGCGCGGGCCTTCTTCGCCTGTGCAGGTGGTACTTGTTGAAGCACCTGAGCAGCGTGCGCTTGTTGTGCAGCGAAAAGCCGCCGCTTCGCTTCCTCTTCGAGCTTGCGCGTGAGCTCAGGGTTAAGAATAAAAGATTCACATAGAGGCGGGCCATCGCATGTTGAAAAAGGTACGACGGGCTCGGCGGACGATTGCTGCACCTCTCCTCCAACACTGGTAATACTAGATTCCGCGCCACCGTCATCGTCCGAGCTGTGGCCACTACTGCTGCTGCTGTCAAGTGAGTCGACCCAGATCCGGTCCTTGGCATACTCCCAAGAGCGCGGACCACTCTGTTCGCGCATGCTAACTTCGCCAATACCTTCACTTAACGTTGCAGGTATAGCATTTGCAGCGTCCACCGGTTCTGTCACCAGTGTTGAATTGAGAACTTCTGCAGAGCCAGAGCTAAAACTTGTGAGTGTCGAGGACCCCGATCCTGGCGCGGAGGAGTCCAGGTCCAACCAGCCGCTAATGTTGTTTGTGGCTGAAGTGGCTAAAGGCGATGTAAGAGAAGACACGTCGCTTGTACGCTGCGGTTGGTGCGATGTCAGGTTTAGGTTGTGAACTGGCGCAGGTGAGCGTTCGGGGCTGCAGGGTGGTACGACGGGCGGCGGAGGAGGATCTACAGCTACCATCCCCATACCTTCATCCAGCCCAATGGGGGCCGGCCCTTGTGCCCCCCAGCCTGCGGGACTCGTGGTAGAAGCTGAATGCTGTAAGGTGAGGCTAGCGAAGCGTCCAACATCTTCATGCTGTAGGTCAAAATGTGGTCGTTTGCGTGGCGGTGGTTTCAGCTCTTCTGCTGGTGCATGATGAGATCGCGATTGTCTGGCATTCGAGCCTGCGACGTGACAGTGGGTGGCGTAGGCAATGGACGCAGATGTATGCGCCCTGTGCCGCGTCGAGCTTGGACTGCTGTATGATGGGTGTCCCACACACGGGCTCGTCGGCGGAGCGCAGATGCGTGGCATTCCTGGACGTCGAAACCCATCTTCATCACCATCTTCACCCTCCTCCTCGTCCTCGACATCGTCTACCGCAGCGGGACTGTCCTGTCTCGCATAGAAACGCTGTCGCTTGATACCACTGAGAGTGCTAGAGCTCGGCACGGGAATCGGTACCGCAGTTGGACTCGCCGGCGCTATTGGATTTTCGATGCCTTCATGTGTCATGGTGGTGCCAGAGCTGGCACTTGGACTCGGGTTGAAAGTCAAGCTTGGGCTGGGAACGCAAGCAAGAAGCGCTGCTGCCCGTGGGCTCGTCGATGACGACGCTTCTGAATGAGAGAAGAGCATCTTGAGTGCATGCAACTCCTCTCCACCAGCATATGTATGAGCCAGGGGAGAGGGCAACACAATTGTATGATCTGTCCTGTGAACGAGGGCGATGCTATCGCGCTTTTTGAAGCATGGCGGGCGCGACAAGGCAACACGCTTGGCTTGGAGCCCACTGCGCTGTCCAAAGACCGGAGGGAGACCGCACCGAAAGCCGTTGTTGCTGTTCTTCCCTTGCTACTTCTCAGCTGTCTTTGTAGGTCTTGCACTTGTTTGGCTGGTGCAAGTGAGCACATACGAAGTGGCGTATCCATCTCTACACCCGGTGAAGGCCCTACACAACCATAGAGCGCATCTTTCTGCTACATACCGGGTTCGAAGTTCGAAGCCGTTCTATGAGACTTGCATTGAAAGCCGATCGCTATCTCCAAAGTTCGATTGATTCACTGTGCTCAGTTCGAAATTTAAGGAACATAATCGGTGCAAATCGCGGTATGCACGCTACCCTTCGTTCTTTCTTTTTGCTAGAATTCTTGCCGCCTGTTTTGTGGCGCGATCCTCATAACCAGTCGCCCCCTCTCCTCAATCACTGGCAAAAAGCGCAATTGTAGGTGATTCTGAACGCGTTAAATCTATGGAAAGCTGGAACTGCCTACCTGCAACCAAACTCAAACACTCAAGTGTGAAGCTTCAAGAACGAAACTGCAGAAGAACGGGGCGCCGGACGGCAGTTCACAATATAACGCATCTCACATCAGAGCGACATCGACGGTCGCAACCGCCGCAGACGCATTCATTTCCATGCAACCAGGACTCCTCAAAAGGATGATCATCTATAATGAGCATGTTGATTTTGAAGGAAATAGTATACAAGGCGGCCATGGAAGTGAGGCCATTGCTCATGCGAAAGATGCAGGAGTGCGGCATCGACAACGTAAAGGAGTGTAGTGCGCAAGTTGAAAAGCGAGACGTAGGTGCAAGTGCACGCCTCTTCACTTCATGTTCTTGGCGACAAGCTTGGCCTTCTCGATCGAGTCGGCACTGCCCTTCATCAGAATCTTCTTGTAGTCGGTGATACTGATGTCCATCTTGGTCAAGTTCTCAATTCTATCACACAAGCAGGGTGGGGCACCTTGGGCATTAGCATGCTTTTTTCAGTTCGGATACCACTCCAAGAGACCCACTTCTTGTCCTTGACTTCCCACAACTCCTCGGCAACTTGTGAGATCAGTCTAAAGTCGTGTCTGTGTAGGCAAATTGGAATGATGATCAGTATAAAGTTTCCAGCTCTCAGACTTCCGGCGGGCACTCACGAGACGATGACAACACCACCCTCGAACTCCTTAATGGCCATCGCGAGCGCATCGATCGAGAGCATGTCCAAGTGGTTCGTCGGCTCGTCGAGCAGCAGGACATGTGGGTTCTCCATGGACAGCTGCGAGAAGACAACTCGGTTCCGCAGCCCGTCGGACAGTGTGCGGATCGGGCTAGTCTGGTGTGCGCCCGTCAGACCGAAGCGACCGATCTGCCCGCGCCAGAACTGCATGTCCTTTTTCGGGAACTTTTCCGCGTACTTGCCCTCCATGTACTCGAGCGGTGACTTTTCGTACGGCAGCTGGTCCGCCGAGTGCTGCGAGTACTTGCCCAGCTTCAGTGCAGCGTGTCGCTGCACGCTTCCTTTGACTGGCGACAGTGCGCCGGTGATCAGGTTGAGCAGCGTCGACTTACCCGTACCATTTGCACCGACGATGGCGATGCGAGAGTCCATGTCGATGGCCAGGTTCAGGTCCTTGTACAGGAAATCCTTCTCCTTGCCACTGTAGCTGAACGCGACCTCGTTGAAAGCGATGATGGGCGGAGGAAGCTTGCGGATGTCTTCAAAGTGGAAGCGCAGCTTCTTGGGCTCGCGAACGGGCTGCACAAGGCCGGCAGCTTCCATTTTGTCGATGATCTTCTGCTTCGACTGCGCCTGCTTGACCAAGTTGGCGTATGTACCAGCGCTGGCGATGAAGCGCTTGATCTTGGCAATCTCGTCCTGCTGTTTGTGGTAGGCCTTCATCTGGTTGGTCTCGTTCTCCGCCTTTACACGCACGTACGTCGAGTAGTTACCACCATAGTAGACCAGCTTCTTGTCCTGCGTCAGATCCATGATGTTCGTGCAGACAGTGTCCATAAAGTCGGCTGAATGGGACGTAAGGACAAGAATGTTTGGGTACGTTGAGAGGTATGCCTCGAGCCAGACGACCGAGCCCAAGTCCAAGTGGTTAGTCGGCTCGTCGAGCAAGAGCATGTGAGGCTTGATGAACAAGGCACGCGCTAGGGCGACACGCATCCTCCATCCACCAGATAAGTCCTTCGTCGGCTTCTTCATCGACTCAGCAGTGAAGCCGAGACCATGGAGAATGGAGCCGGCCTTGGCCTCGAACGTCGATGGGTCCATCGCGTCTAGCTCCTCGTAGAGGCGTTCCAAAAGCACATCATCGACCACATCTGCAACAGACGCCTCCTCAATCTCCTTCTCCAGCTTGGCCACCTTTTTCTTAGCTGACTCGACACAGTACTCCAGACCGTTCTTCTCAGTCGGTTCCACCTCACCACTGACCAAGTGAATCTGTACAAGAAGCTGTCAGCTTCGCCTTTGGCGTTGCGTCGGACAAGTAGCCTTGTACTTACGTCGACGTGCTCTGGAATCTCCACATCTCGGTGAGCCAGCGCATCCAACAAGGTCGTCTTTCCGCACCCGTTCTCTCCGAGCAGACCATATCGCTGTCCAAAGTTGAGGGTGATCTGCGCTCCATCGATGAGCAGGCGCCCATGGAAGGACATGGTGAAGTTGTCAATGTGCACGTCGCGTGATTGAGAGTCCGATACGAGGACACCGGATGCATTGCGCTCTGTGGCGAGAGCTAGCTTTTGCATTTCAGTGATGGTGCCATCAGCATGCAGGTTCTCCGAAGACGTCGCAGCAGAAACGTTGGTGAGAGGCGTGTCCGACGTTCCATTCGTTGTGCCGGTCGCACTGGAGGTGCCGGTTGAAGAGCCATTCTTGGCCGCGGCCTTGGCTGCCTTTTCGCTGGGGATAAGCAAAGGAAGCGTGTGAGTCAATCAAAGACCATGGAGCAATTCAGGTTCTTGCCACGATGCTCACGCCTGACGCTTAGCCTTGGAAGCTGAGACTGGCATTTTGTCGGTTGAATCGATATTCGACGGCGTGCAAAGCAAGAGTATACGAAACTATGCGCGTATTCGAGGGTATTAAAAGGCGTGACACTTGCCGTGCTTGCGCTATGTGCAAACGATTGTTTAGTTGGTCGCGATTCTTTGCAGCCACCTAAGTCGTTCACTGCCAATATGCCACCAGATGGATGCTATAGCAATGCCAATTGCTCCACGCCCGTCCTTTGTGACAAATGGAGGCTTTGCGTGTTCAGAACAAGTCTGTGTATGTGAGCGCAGTCAAGGATGGTAGTAGTGGGCCAACATGCAAACTGGAACAGGTTGAGCAAGCGGATGAAGGTCATCGAGATCATCCAGGGATGCCTGCGAGGAATTTTCGAACGCAAGCTTTTACGCCAGCCAAGTGCACTGCACCGCAGTGCGTGTGTAGCGACAGCGAGAGGGCGGAATCAAATTGAATGACACCTTGTGCTTGGAGAAAAAATTCCGGTCAAATGCTGCATATTTAGGCAGTAGGGGTGCCTACCCCCCCCACTGCGCTCGTGCCCGCCGCTTGCAACCTGCCAAGTGGCAAGTCGCCACCATTTCAAGTCAATGACCCCGTCACTCCCCCACAGCCAGGTGCAACTCAATTTGGCCATTCAACCATGTGAAGAAACAATACTAGATTGCGAGCATCTCCAGCCTCTCCCCTCCTGAGCTCCAGATTCCTTCATCGGTAGCGGCATTGAGCTACTTGGAGCCCGCCCTGGCCTCAATGCGCCGCTCTACAGACTGGGGACCCGGTGATGCCTAGTTGACGTCTCCTACGTTGGTAACGTAAGCAGCTTGCCTCTAGGGCGGAATCCATTTTTGGCCTTCGCATACTCTCTGGGTCCGTGACATGAGTCTTTCAAAGCCACGAGCATACAAGTGAGGATCACGAGTTCAATACGCATCCACCAATTATTTTAGAAAAAGCATAACCAGAAGTGATGACGGCCGGTGGGCGCGCGTCAGTGGAGGACGCGGTAAAGAACCCTTTTTTGAGCTGTATAGGCTGTTCGTGCGGCACTCGGCCTGTGTTTGGCGTCGTTCCGTGACTACTGGCTATTATATTTTCTAAAAGCGTCTTGAACCTTTCCAAAGGTCACACTCGTCACCAAGAGCAAAGACTCGCACCGGTATCACTCGAAGAAAGGTGCATCAGACACTTCTCCCAGAGTTTATCACCATCAGACGCGGGCTGGAACAGAACGAAAGCCCCTCCCTTCCAAAAGCACTAAACCAGGAAGTCGCTCGAAGAGTCGATTCGATATTTCTTCCGTTCCTCGTCGCTACGAATCTTTTAAGTTCTGCCCCTTTCTTCTCCCTCCTGCACCATGTCAACCGTCTTGCAAAAGATCAAAGAAATCGAGGCGGAGGTTGCAAGGACGCAGGTAAGGGCTTAGGCAACCTCTTTAATTGTGCATATCTCGAGACTTCTTTCTCACCCCTTCCCCCTGCCCTCTAAAACGTGAAGGTGAACAAAGCAACTTCGTATCACTTAGGGCAACTGCGTGCCAAGCTCGCCAAGCTAAAACGAGAGCTGATCACCCCCAGCGGGGGCGGAGGAGGCGGCGGGCTAGGGTTCGATGTCGCACGTACGGGTATTGCTAGCGTTGGATTTGTGGGCTTCCCGTCGGTCGGGAAGAGTACGCTCATGTCAGGTCTAACTGGCACCACATCCGAGGCGGCTGCGTATGAATTCACAACGTGTGAGCTGGGCTTCCTCCACAGCAATTAATGAGGCAACCCTGCTGACGTTATGAATCCCACTGCGCCCTCAGTGACGACGGTTCCGGGGACGATGACGGTGCGAGGAGCCAAGGTGCAGATCCTGGACCTGCCAGGTATCATTGAAGGTGCCAAAGACGGAAAAGGTCGAGGTCGGCAAGTCATCGCAGTCGCACGGACGTGCAACCTTATCTTCATCGTTTTGGACGTATGCAAGCCCCTCAAGGACAAACAGATCATCGAAAATGAGCTGGAAGGGTTCGGCATCCGTTTGAACAAGACAGCGCCCGCGATCAACGTCAAGAAGAAGGACAAAGGCGGTATCAACATCACCCACACCGTTCCCCTAACCAAGATCGACCCCGAAGAAGTCCGAGCGGTGTTGAGCGAGTACCGCATCTCCAATGCCGAAGTCGCCTTCAAGCAAGACGCGACTATCGAAGAACTGATCGACGTTGTCGAGGGCAACAGGGTATACGTCCCCTGCCTGTACGTGCTCAACAAAATCGACAGCATCTCAATTCAGGAGCTAGACTTGCTCTATCGCATCCCCAACAGCGTGCCCATCAGCAGTCGGCAGTGGTGGAACGTCGACGACGAGCTGGTCGAAAAGATGTGGGAGAAGCTCAATCTCGTACGGATCTACACGCGCCCACGAGGCTCGCCGCCAGACTACAGCAGCCCCGTCGTACTGCGCAATGGAAAATGCACAGTAGAGGACTTCTGCAATGCCGTGCACAAGGAGATTGTCAAGCAGTTCAAGTAGTGAGTGCCAATTGCTGCCGTAAAGAGTGAAAGGTCGAAGATTGACGCTTTGCTTGCTAGTGCAATGGTCTGGGGCTCGTCGGCCAAGCACCCGAGAGGGCAGCGCGTGGGTGCGGACCACATCTTAGAGGATGAGGACGTCGTGTGTATCTTCAAGAAATGAGCGTACCGCGCTTATCTGCCGGGCCGCGGCAGCGCCTCATGAGCTGACTGGTAGTAGGAAGCCGGATCAAGTGCTGACGGGCTTTCGAATTGGGCGGCGCGTGCGTCCTGTGGCTCGACATCTCAATAGGGCATATACTCTGGAGGTGACTTGGCATTGCATGATTTGCTTGATGTTGATTTTTCATTCGTGATTTCCTCTCAAAATCCATTTGCCATCAGCCACATCTCTACTTCTTGCACCGTCTTGCCGCTCTCGGCATCCCTTGAGTTGCCGACTTGCAACACCTTCCACTTCTCCCCTCCCTGTTGGGTAGAGCCTTTGCCGTCGTTGACAATGAGCACAGCGAGCTTTTCCCTGACGCCCTGGTCGATAGCTTGGAATGCTTGCATGCCTTCCTCGCCGGGTACTAGCACAACGGCAGCTGCAAACTCTGCTTGCCCGCCAGGGCGCGAGAAGCCAGCCAGCTGGGCGGCGGCTACCTTTGCAGATGTGGAACCCCGCACAAAGAGGACCGGACCACGGTTGAACATGTGCAGGCGTATCTGTTGCTCGAGCTCCGTTGCCAGCGCTTGGTGTGAGCCAGAAGGAGAGACGGCGTTCACGTCCAGGCAGTCGTAGCCCATCTCGCGAAAGTAGCTGATCCAACTCTGCCATTTGGTACTGCTCGCCACACCGACAGAGGGGTTGGCTTTCGGTGCATTGATATTGAGAAAGACGAGTGTCACGCTGTTTGAGGAGCGCTGTGACATGGCAGAGACGGGATACAGTAGCGCGGAGCTCTTCGATGGTAGTTCGCCTTGCTCGCTGCTGCTCGTTGCGCCTGCCTTTGCTAATTCCGAAGAGGCCAAAGTATCAGCTTCACTCCCTTTTTGGCTACCTGTGATCCATGACCAAAAGGAGAATGGCGCAGCAGCGTACAGCAGTTTGGCGCCGTTGCCGGCCGCTCTGCTGGGTGGCAGTGGTTGCCTGCCGGGGCGCCCTTGATGTGTCGAGATGGTTCGTACGGACCCGAGAGGTGCGTAGGCGAGATGGGCCATCGAGATGGAGGGAGCGGCAGAGCACGTTCGCCGCAGTGCCTGGGTGCTACTAGCCGCATGAAGCGATGCCATCGTAGAGGTCTTGCTTGGCGATCGCTCGACGCACCGAGCCGGCTGAGATGTCACGCCCAGCGACTGGGCCAGATTGAAGCAACTCAAAAAGCCACCGGCCCTCGACGTGGGTATGTGTTTCTTGAGAGCAAACCAAGACAGAGCCGGAAGTAGTAAAGATTAAGCGACGGGTCTAGCAAGATCCGGCAGGGCCTTCGTTGACTCCATCTGACTGGATGCCTCAGGGCCACTATGATCCAGTGACTCTTTCACCTTGTAAGGTTGTTGAGAGAGTCGACGCGATGAGGTCACCAACGCCCTTTCTTTCTTTTCCCCGCACAGGTGCCTGGCTCAATCTTGCAGACGCAAAGTCAGTCAGAGTGGTAGTAGCCCACTGACTCAGTGGCTCATCGCTAAAAGTCTTTGAAAAAAAGAAAGAATGCAACTCGGCTGCGAGACAAAACGCGACGCCGCGTGACACAGCACCTGAGAGTCTGAGTTCTGCGTAGTATGCACCATAAACCGGCGATGACCTAAAGATGGTCCTTTGAGAGCGGTGGCAGCTGGGGACGCTGGGGAAAGGACAATAGTCACGCTATTGGTCTGCTGTGGGCTGTGTTCGCACTACTTTGTGTTTTCGATTGGGCGTGACACACTGTGTGAGCCTGAAGTCTGCCGCTGTGCAAACCTGGCGCAGCCACCATGCCCGAGACGATCACTATCGACTCGGACGATGACAGCGCCAGCTTGCCTTCCCAAACGACGCAGGCAGCCGATGCAGGGCGACGCACTTCCCACCTGCGGTCCTCTCCCCTTCATTCGAACTATCCATACCAGACTCGGGAGCAAGATGATACAGAGCGCAGTGCTCTTACCACGCTACGAGTCAATGCTCAAGCGAGGAATGACGATGTAGCTCTTAGGCGGCCTGGCTTGAATTCCATTCTTCCGCGCCCAGTGCGATCCAAAAGCGGCCGTAGCTTGCTTTCCGCTCTTGATGCTGCTGCATCTAGCGATAACGATGGAATCACTCGATTGCGAGAGGCGGAAAGCAGCAGGGGTAAAATGAATGGGAAGAGCAAAGCCAAGGGGAGCGTGCATCTCGATCTCGACGAGTCTGCAGAAGAAGACAACATTTTAGGAATAGGACCATCATCCCGCACAGCTTTCTCGCTCACAGGAAAGGAATCACAACGCTCAGCACTGCGATCGTCCGACTTATCCTCCGACCTGCCTTCTTCCCCTGTTATCGCTCGCACGATCAGTGCGCCGACAGCGCCTACCGCGCGAAAGGGCAAGTCAGCCACCGGTCGCGCTGCTGCTTCCAAACGACCCGGGGTGTTGTCCCACAGCGATACTTCGGACGATGACAACCTGCAAGGCATGCGCGACAATGTACTTGGCAAGAGGCCCACGGGCGGAGCAGGACGTTTGACTAAAAGATCGAAGACGATCGGTGATCTACCTTCAGGCCCTTCGGAAACGAGCTTGGGAAAGCAAAGACAAAAGGAGACAGTGTTCGGCAGGAAAGAGATAGAGCGCATGGCCAAGGAGCGCGAAAATCAGGAAAAGAAGGTGCGCACGCCTGATTCACTGGCCGCACTCTTTAGTCACCGATTGATTGTCTTGATGCGAACGCAGGCCGAACGTGAACGGCATTTGGAAGAAAAGAGACAGTGGCAAGAAGCGAATAAGCTTCGCACGTCCAAATCTGAAACTACCAAAGAGCTAATCATTGAGATGGACTCGGGGCTCTTCACAGCCGGCAGCGGCCCACTCGCATCGCTAAAGCAGCAGCTACTTGGCGAGCTGGAAAAGGACGGTGCGACGACGCACGTGAAGGACCGCGTCTATGACAGCATAGCAACAGCCATAGATGCACAAGAGCAGCTTGAAGGTCTCCACGCTATTCGCATTCTCCGCAAGCGTACCGCACGCATCGATCCAGTCCGGCGAAGCTTTGTTCCCCTACCCAAGGGCACCGTCGAGATTGAAGACGAGAAGACGGCCATCGTCTGTTTGACGTGCCACAAGCTGCTGAGCCTCGTCGAGGACGGGAATCTGATCAGCACGCTGCGTTCGTTCCGGCAGGGCTTAGGGCTGCTTTTCCACCAGGTTGTGATCCTCGTTCAGGGCCTCGGCGTACATTTCCGCAAAATGCGCAACAAGAGCAATCGCGAGTACACTGCCGCTGTCCGGCAGCAGGTGCACCAGGCTGCGACGTTAGGAGCGGCCACAGGTGATGATACGGCGACCGCTAGTGCATCGCGAAGGAGAAAGGGCCGCACTGTGGAGGAGTTTACAGTCACGCGAGAGCAGTTGGACCGCGAGCTCATGAAGCTACGAGTTGCTGAGAGGTGCTTCGTGGTGCAGGTGGAAAAATCGGGAGAGGTGGTGCAGTGGATCGTCAGCATAATTCAGGATGTCGGAATTCGGCCCTACAAGTGAGTCTGTACGAAGCCACGGGATTTTTGTAGAAGGTTGACGCGTTGTTGCATTTACAGATTGATCCGCAATTCGCATCTCTCCTTTGCGGTGGACACCAAAGTCGCGGCGGGTTTGACGGATGAAGCGACATTTAGCGCAATGTTGCAGCAAATCGTGAGAGGCACACTGTCATTTATTCAGCGAACATACGGCTTATTCTTTGCTGATTGCACAGCCACGCATGACGGAACCACAAGCAGACAGCATCGTTTACACGTTTGCGACCATGCGCAACTTGATGGACAGCATCCATTCCAAGGGGACCGCATCATCGTCGGCAACAGGGGGCCCAATGAACGCCGCCATACAGGAGATTGCAGACTGCACAGTGTCAACGACCAAAGATGGCAAGCTGAGACAGAAGGGAGTCAGAGTTGGAGATGCGCTGGCCAAGCGTTTAGTCATGGCGCTGTCTTCGACAGACCCTTTGACGCTCATGAGTTGAAACCTGTTCAGGTCTCTTGCCTCTGTGCACGCGTTCCGAGCTTTGTATTCTTTTGCTGATGAAGAAATGAAGACATGTATGCGTCCTAAACTGTTATACGCCGGATTCACACCGAAAATATAACGATGAGAAGTGGCCATGACGGAAATACCAGTCACTACCAAGCTGACATGGTAATCTTGGATACGAAGGCAGAGGGTCCCGCGATGCAGGGTGATGCCATCCAGAACGGACAATGGACGTTTGCAAGATGAGTGCTCGCCGTGTATACTCCGAGGTTGGTTCACCTATTTCCACTGGGGCCAGAACTCGCACCTCTACCAAAGGTGTCTGAAGTAACGAAATACTCTAAAGGAGGGCATGCCCTGAGTGGCCAATCATAAAAGCGCGTTAAACATACAGTCTCAAGACCGACCAGGGATGGATGAGAAAAGAGAGTCAAGTGTGCCTGGCGGCGGCGGAATGAGGGACTATTGAATTACTAATAGAGAGAACACAGATGTCGGCCGAGACAATTTTTTGGTCTGCCATATTGCTCACCCTCCAGATGAAAAGTAGATGGTGAACACTATTTGCAAATCCCGCTCGACCTCAGAGAGCTTGCTGCCGTTGTCGAGAAGTGTTGGGTGGCTAGCCATTACACCCTTTCTGCTGACGTCTTTGTGCGCACGTTCAACGTAGACTCGGTGCCGAGTTGAAATTTTCGTCCCCCAGCCTGGCATCGGCCTCAATCGATACGCTGTCGCCATGCCGTCACACGCGGACAGCGCATCGGAGGCGTCGTCGTCTAGATCGCGCTCAGCATCGGTATCAGATAGCGGCTTGTCGGCACCCGACCACCTGGCGGGAAACCCCGATTCGATGGCCACCAGAGAGCTGTCGCTTAAAGGGAAAGAAAAGGCCCGGATGGTAGAGGCAGCGGATGTTGACGAGGGTGCCAGCGACGCAGGCAGCTCGAAGCAGGCTGAAGGGGCAGACAGTGATTCAGGTGTGAAAAAGACATTCGCCGATCTGGGAGTGCTACAGCCCATCTGTGAAGCATGCGAGGCGATGAATTTCAAACATCCAACTCCGATTCAGGAGAAAGCGATACCGGAAGCGCTTGCAGGAAGGGATGTGATTGGCCTCGCGCAGACGGGAAGCGGCAAGACGGCAGCGTTCAGCATTCCGATCCTACAAGCACTGTGGGACAATCCGCAACCTCTCTTCGCCTGCGTACTTGCCCCAACTAGGTGTGTCAAGGAGAGCGTGTCATCGAAGTTTGTCCCTTCAGTGTTGACGTTTCTGTACCTGTCCCCCTCACAGAGAACTCGCCTATCAGATTTCACAGCAAATCGAAGGTCTCGGCGCAACCATTGGTGCACGCTGCGCCACAATTGTCGGAGGGATGGACATGATGAGCCAAAGTATTGCTCTTTCGAAGCGGCCACATGTGGTCGTTGCCACGCCAGGGCGATTGCAGGACCACTTGGAGAACACCAAGGGATTTTCGCTGCGCAACCTCAAGTATCTTGTCATGGACGAGGCGGATCGACTGCTCGATATGGATTTTGGCCCAGTGATCGACAAGCTACTCGAGTCGATTCCACGCGAACGCAAGACGATGCTTTTTTCAGCGACCATGAGCACGAAGGTGTCCAAGCTGCAGCGAGCGAGTCTGCGCAACCCAATTCGCATCGAGGTCAGCACCAAGTACCAGACAGTCGAGACGCTGTCGCAATACTACATGTTCATGCCATTCGATCGCAAGGATGTCTACCTGGTGCACTTGGCAAACGAGCAGGCTGGGCAGTCGGTGCTCGTTTTCACCCGTACAGTCCACGACGCGCAGCGTATAGCCATCATGCTGCGTATGCTCGGCTTCCCGGCGATTCCGCTGCATGGCCAAATGTCGCAATCGGCCCGGCTGGGCGCCCTATCGAAATTCAAAGCGGGCGGGCGCCGGATCCTCATTGCTACAGACGTTGCGTCGCGTGGGCTTGACATTCCCGCCGTTGACCTGGTTGTCAACTATGACATTCCAACACACTCGAAAGACTACATCCATCGTGTGGGTAGAACAGCGCGCGCGGGCCGCTCGGGTCGCTCCGTCACGCTGGTCACACAGTACGATGTCGAGCTGCTGCAGCGCATTGAGGCGGTGATCGGCAAGAAGCTGTCGCTTTTCCCAGGAGGAAATGACACGGAGGCCATCATGATGCTCAGCGAGCGAGTCGGAGAGGCGCAGCGTGCCGCCAGGCAGGAGATCAGGGAGAATGGCTACGGGGGTGCAGGCGGCGCTGGCCGGCGGAAGAGAAAGATGGAGAGTGAGCGGGATGCGATGGACCGCGATGATGATGGTGGAGACAATGGAATGCACTACGCGGCTCGCAGAGGCGGCGGTGGCGGTAGCCGTGGCGGTGGGGGCAACAAGCGCAAGCTGAGCCACAAGGGACGTTGATTGGGCTCAGCGGAAGGACCTGTGCCTTAGACGAGCAACATTGGCCTTGTCATCTGTATTTTGGGACAGGAATTGCGTCACTGTACCGCGACTTCCATCTCAATTGCGGGCCGGGCAAGGATTGAAGCCGGCTCAGCACCCAAGAACACGCTATCGACGCATTTTTGCGTCCTTTTCCCGTTATCTCTACTTGCCTCATCCCTTCCCGCTTCACCTGTGGTATGGCGTCATGTGCGCCTGTTCGCAGACGATCCTCATCCCTTCACCGTCGAGAAATGTGGCTGGTAGTGCTGGTAGCCAGGTATGATGGATATGCTCTCGGGCCGCACGCTTCTGTCGAGCAGATACTGCACAGAGGCAGGGACATCGACGAGGATGTCCCGCTCAGAGGAATGAAACGCAGAGAGTCGATGTCGATGTCGGGGAACTCGGTGATCCAGAGCACCACCCTCGTCCATATGAGGCGCCGCGAATTGGTGGGCGCCACTCTGTAGCGGTAATGATAACGGTGTACCGCAGGGGGTGGGGCGGCCAAGGCGTGTCAGATGAGATGGTGCAACTTTGCGAGAGATAGAGAGCAAAACGCACAACAGTTCGCTTCCGACGAAATACTGCAGCAGGGGTTCAATCGCACTCGCTGGTTTCTTGTGCGTGAAGCTGTGGCAGACGGCTGTACCAGTATGGCGCCAAGGCTTGTTGATTTGGGGAGATCACCGATGCTAGGAACGTTGGACCCAACTCACAGCCTTTCCACGAACGGAAGGAGACCGGGTCCATCAGCACATTCTGTTTGTAGAGCTCGAGATGAGCTCGCAGGAGCCAGCTGTGTGTCATGGAACCGCTGCCGCATTCAAGAAATTCTGACAGCCAGGTCAGAGAGACGGAAGTTCTTTTGCAGAAACATACTTGGAGTTGGTGAAGCAGGCTTGGCCAACAATTCGCAGCTGCCATGTTGTTCCCTTTGAAAGCCCTTGCATGCGCAGAACTACGCAGTCGCAGCGGCGGTAACGCCATTCGTGACAATGCAGTATTCCAGAGGCCGGTGTGAGACCTGAAGCTGATCAAGCGTGCGACTAATCGCGTTGATCTGGTTATTGTAGCCCTCGGGGATGTGCCAGTCGAGATGCTAACTATCGAGCTCCTAGACGTCCTTCCGTCCTTTTGTCCCGCCCAGCTCGTGCCTGAAGAAGGCCCAGGCGAGAAATTCGCGGACGTTGTCAGCGAGGTTTGCTCTGGGCTTCCTGTCTCCGCCGTCGCGTGCTTGCGCGAGTAGCACACTGCGTCAGGCGTGACGGTTCTTCCGCGGCCCACGAAGGCATGGTGCGCCGCCTTGGGCGGCAGCCGGTCACCAATGCTGCGTAAACGTGCGGCGGCGACGGCTGGTGCTGGCTTGATCGCCCGATCGAGCGGGAGACCGACTTTGAGGCAGCTGAAGAGGCGCGTCTGGAGGATGGTAATACTGGCGAGGGGCGGCGGGGCGTGCTTGGCGGATGTGGCGTGTGGCAGGTGTGCGAGATAGACCGACAATGGCAGCTTGCTCAGGGGATAGAAGAAGTAGAAGTGATGGAGAAAGGCGGCTGCTATTCGCTGCCCACCGTCACTGGAAATGAACGCAAGGGTAGCACCGCTTACGGGAATGTGTGCTGGAGGACGAGCAGCCTATACGAGGCGAACAGGACGACCAATCAGCAGACTGACGGCAGGGGCCAGATGAAAGCTTCCAGCACTCTGGCGCCGATGAATTTGAGTCTTGGGAGCAAGGCTTTGACCGGCGAGGCGAAAGCTGGCACTGCCTTTTCGAGTCAGGGAGGACACCGCCTCGGTTGGCAGGCGCAGGTGCAGGTGTTGCGGTCATCCCTGCTCAAGTATCTCTCCATCCCTATATTTTAATTTATTTGAGCGACAGGAAGGATAACTTGACATGCACCCCGAAGGCAGCGGTGGCGGTCCAGTGAGCGAGATGTGTAAGTGTCTGTCCATTTTGGCGGATCCACCTGCAACGCCAAAAATGAAGTGTGTTGAAACCAATGATGCACAAACTACAAGCGCACAGACTGCCGATTCGAACGCCAGCAGGTGCTCAGAGGGCCTGTGCGTAAAAAATATAGGGGTGGGGGCTTTCATCGCTGCGAACAAGCAGAAGGCCAGGCGAACGAACGAACGAGAGCAGCGCGAGCAGCCCCACTACCTTCTAGCAGGGCACACAAGTCATAGTGTGGCGCGACGTGATGTGAGCGGCACATGCACGAAATCCCACAGACCCACACGACGCACGGCTCCTGCATTGGCAGCGGCTCGTTGTCGGACAGTCTGCACAGGCCCTAGTCGCTGGAGCAGACTCTGCAGTTGAACTCCCTCTTCTCTCTGTTGGTGGGTGGTATCTATGAAATGATGAGATAGAACGATGAGCACACCATGCTATCACGATGCTGACCCAAAATTTGCGGACTGCTCCGTCGTTCCGTCGATCACAACGTCTAGTAAGGTCGCCGAGCTCGTCGGTGTCTCAGACATTCAGATTGCGGCAGACAGCGGGCCGAAGCGCGAGGTAGGGTTAAGCGTCGCGGTCAAACCTTTTGCTGTTGGTCGTCTTTTCGCATGCCTGCCCGCCGCCGTCATATCGAGATGACCCATGTGCGCAGCGAACGTGTTGATCAAGACAACATTTGACGTCCATGCTCGCTCGGTGTTAGTCGGGTCTAGAGCTGCGTCCATACGTAAAGGCGACCCTCAGCAGGCTGGCCATATTAGCCGTCTGCTAGCTCGAAGCATTGCTTTCTCGCTCAGAGACAAGCAAGCGAAACAGGGCGCCGACGAGCAGCCACCCCATCGCCCTTGCAGGGCGAACAACCGGAAGGTTCGCTGCTCCTACGCACGATAGGAGCACCTTCGCACCTGCAAGTGGCCCACAGGAAAGGTTGAAAAGTCTCCTCGTGCCTCTAGCCGCAGCTCAGCTCTTGCCGGCCACCATACACCACGAGATAGGGCGTACTAATTTGCCGCTCCCATCACACGATTCGCACGGACCACGGTTGGAAGGCGGAGCGTTATCATCAGCCAACGCTGCTTCATTTTTTTACATCTTTAACGAGCAACCACAAGGCAGCTGCCTCCACACGGTTAGAGAGGCAGCGCACAGGCCAATCGCTCGTACAAAATGCCGTTCGACCTGGACGCATGCATATCCTCGCTGCTCAACAAGCAGCTGCTGGGCGAAGCGCTGCTCAAGGAGATCTGCGAAAAGACCAAGGAGCTTCTCATGCGCGAGAGCAACGTCGTGCACATATCTGCGCCTGTTACTGTCGTTGGGGACATACATGGGTGAGTGCTGCTGCAGTTGCTGCAATCATCATTCGAGTCGCATACATGAGTGGTGCTCTTGCGTCCTGCGTACCCAAGCGAGATGGCAATGCTTGGGACATAGTCGTCACTGGCAGAGAAAATTTGATGGAACAGAGTTGTTTGAGAAATGATTAGCATCCTTGCAGAGGTCCCAGACTGGAAAATCATCACTTACAATCGCCTTTCATTTCATGCTTTTGTTTCTGTGCTGCAGACAATACTACGATCTGATTGAGATCTTTCGGATAGGCGGCTACTGCCCGCACACGAACTATCTTTTTCTGGGTGCGTATCTCTGCTGTGCGTATCTTTTCCACACACTTTCCATCTAACATATGCCTATGGCGTTTGCAGGGGACTATGTCGACCGGGGCCTCTTCTCTGTCGAGACCATCTCGCTGCTGACGTGCCTCAAGTTGCGATACCCAGACCGCGTCCAGCTGATCCGGGGCAACCACGAGTCGAGGGCGGTGACGCAGACGTACGGCTTCTACACCGAGTGTACGCGCAAGTACGGAAGCGCAAACGTCTGGACGTACTTTACGGACATGTTCGACTTTCTCACGCTCAGCGTCGTCATTGACGATCGGATATTCTGCGTACATGGAGGTTCGTCACGCTGTTCGTGTTCTGGTGCACCCGCTCTGCTGACCATTCTTTTATATCTTGATTGCGCGGCCTTGACAGGTTTGAGTCCAAGCGTACATTACATTGACCAGATCAAGATCATCGATCGCTTCAGAGGTAAGCAACCGACCACCAGCTTTTGACCACGCGTGAGTGATCGACTCACTCTCCCTGACATTCGCTGCTCAGAAATTCCGCACGACGGGCCGATGGCGGATCTAGTATGGTCCGACCCGGATCCGGACAAGGAAGAGTTTGCACTCTCGCCGCGCGGTGCGGGTTACACGTTCGGTGCGTCGGTCGTGAAGCACTTTCTGGAGCGCAACAACATGTCGCACATCCTACGCGCGCACCAGCTGTGCATGGCCGGCTTCAGCGTATTATACGACGACCGCCTGTCCACCGTCTGGAGCGCGCCGAACTACTGCTATCGGTGCGGCAACCTCGCGAGCATCCTCGAGGTCGGCCCCGGCGGGACGAGGCACTTCAACACGTTCGAGGCTGCGCCCGAGAATGAGATCGATGGCCCAGCGCAGGCGCAGCAGAACAGCCAAAAGGTGAGCCGAGCGGCATTGTACCGCACCGGGCGGCGGACTTTTCGCTTGGAAGAATGCTGACGCGCTCTCCACTCGCTTTCTTCGCGCCTGCGCAGTACGACTCTGTCAATTACTTCTTATAGAGCCATAGCAAGTCGACGGCGACGACGACGACGATACCACCAGCCGTGTTCTCGCATCAACGATGGAGATGCAGCTCTGCGCGTACCTAGCATGCTCGGGGGCATCCCCACGTCTGTGCGCCCTATCTACCACGCCGAACGCCCATCTGTATACTAACTATATCGCATTGTATTGTCTGCTTTCTAAAGTGCATTGCATCGATTCTCTTTCGATGTAGGCGGGCACGCTCCGAGTCAACACTGATGTGTACACTGGTATGGCGTGTCACTCGGGACGCCCTGATCTCGCTCTCCTCTCTCTCTACCCTCAAGGATGCCGCTTGACGCTGTAAATGCGAGCACATGCGTCGGCGCCGGCGGTCGCGATACGCGCGTCGTCGAGCCACGCGACGGCGTTCACACCGCCTGCGTGCGCGTTCTTGATCGCGATGTTCTTGGCCGGCTTGGAGACAGACCAGATGTAGACGTTCGTGTCCCTGCATGAGGGAGCGAGCAAGCAATCGTAGATGGAGAAGCGAGGGATGAGTACTTTGTGAACTCTTTGCTCAAATTAAATGAAGGCCTCATGCAAATACTCACAAACTGCCGCTGACAGCCGCATCGCCGTCGGGGCTCCACTTGATGTCATTGATGCGCGCCGTATGGAAGACCCAATGTAGGATCTTGACCGTCGCTTGCGCGGTTCCACTACCACTAACGGCAGAGACGTCGTACACGATAATCTTGCCGTTGCTCTCACCCGCTGCCAGCAGCGACCCGCTCGGGTCGAAGGCCAGCGCTGTGATGGCGCTGCGCCCGTTTGCCAGCGTCGCGTGCGGCAGCTCCTTCACCGCGATCCCCGCGCCAGAGGGCGAGGCAGCGTACATGCGCACCTTGCCGTCCTCGCAGCCGAGCGCAACGAGCGTGCCATGTGGGTGCACGGCGATGGCGCTCGGCGCGCTGGGCGCGGGCTGCGAATGGACCTTCCTGCTGCTGCTAACGTCGACGACGTCAAAGCCGTCCGGCGTCGCGATGTATGCTGGGCCGTTGGGAGTAGCGGTAGGCGCAGCGAGCGCCTTGGGCTGGCCGCTGAGTGCGACTGCACTGCCGTGTGCAGTACCTGTACCTGCTGCCGAGGCGAGCGGGATGCGCTTGAGCGCGTCATCGAGCCCTACGCTAAGCAACTCGCCGTGCCCCATTGCGGAGCACGAGAGCGCCAGGCCCATGACGGCCGGTGCGAGCGCCGCACCACTGATGGCGCCGACGAGCGGCGTGCACGACACACTGCCGCCCTGCAGAAGATTGTCGACACCGTGCGACAGGTCCCACGCGACGACTTTGCCGTCGAAACTGGCGCCGTAGAGCATCGAGCCGCCGGCGTGAAGCGCGGTGATGCTCTTCGTTGGCGCGTAAATCGCCTCGATTCTGTGATTGCCACTGCTACTAGTGTTGCTGTTGCTGGGGGAAGAAGAGGAGAGGTGGACGAGCGTGAGCTGCCCATTGCCACTCTGCACGACGACGCGGTCCGGCCCGGCAAAGCAGGCAGCGACGAGCTGATCGTCGCCGCGCTCTGCGCCGGGAATCTTGAGGCTAAGGGACGATTGCAGGGAGGCGCTCGCTCCGGACAGGCGCCACACCTTGAGCGTGCTGTCTGCGCCTGCGCTGATGAACGTCTCGTCCGAGCTGGGGTGGAACGCGACGGCGTACACGGTGCCCATGTGCGCACCGCCGCTGGCACCGCTGAGGTCCGACGCGAGGATATCGCCGCTCTTGCCGTCAAGGAGGACGAGTCTACTGTCGCTGCCTGCGCTGAGGGCGTACATGCCGCTGGGTGAGAAGGCGACGGTATGTACGAAGCGGGTGTGTGCGTCGGCGAGCGTGCGCGCCAGCTTGTACGGCGCGCCGGTGTACCAAGCGAGCTGCGCGTCATCGGCGGCGGTGATGGCACGAAAGGGGCGGGCCGTGTTGAGCGCAACGGCGTTGATCGGCTTCGAGTGGCCTTCGATTGTGCCGGCGCTGGAGCCCGAGTCGAGAAGGAAGACGGCGCCGAACGAATCGCGCCCCTCACCGACCGCGATGAGGCGCTTGCCTTCAGCGTCCCAGGCAATGTCGCGCACAGGGCCCGCAAGAGCGCGGTGCTCGAGCTTGAGGACGGCCTCGCCACCGGCGCCCGATGTGAGGTTGAGCACGTCCCAGATGCGCACCAGGCCGGACATGTCGGCCGATGCGCAGTAGTACCCGGACGGGCTGAAACGCGCGACGGTGACGGGGTGGGCATGCTGTGCGTACAGCTGTGTGCCTGGCTGCAGGAAGCGCGGTCCTGCTGGTGCTTCTGTGGGTGCAGGGGACGACGCAGCGAGCGAACGAAGGACGACGGTGCGACCCTGGGCGTAGGCGATGCGCTGCGTCGGCGCGTGGTAGCTCAGTTTGGCCGCCTGGTTGCTCTTCGCCGGCGTTGGGTTGGCCGGCAGGATGCCGAGCAGCGTCGCGGACATGGTGGGCGGTGAGGGTGAATGCTCGGCTGCTGCAGCAGCAGCTTGTGGTGGTGGTGGTGGAGCTTCTGACAGAGTCAAAGGAGGTGACGTGTGCACCTGCCACCTGTGGCGTCGAGGTATACACTGCATATATGCAAGCAAGCATGCTTATAGGTCTTTGTCTATCTTACCAAAGGATGGTGTTGCTCTCTGCGAGCCAAGTGGCGCCGCCGGTGCCAGCCAACCAACGTCCGTGCGCAGGCTGTATAACCCTAACTTTCTGCAGCTGGTCATATCGAGCAGTTGTAAATCCATGCACGTTCTTCGATTCAACAACCCCGCCTTGGAACTGATCGACCAGCACCCGTCTGCGGCACTGCGTCGCTCTCTGGCACACCCTCTCTCTCCGCAACGTGCTCCCCTCCCCCACATACCACGTCCCCATTCAGCTTTCTTCTGGCTTGCTATCTCAACTTCGACCTCACGCTCGACGATCCAGGATCAGAGCCTTTGGTAGCCCGCTCTGCAGTCTGCGCTGCAGACTGCTCTGCTCTGCTCACCTAACCCCCGCAAGCAACGCCGACGGACCGACAGCCCAAGATGTGCATCCCCAAGTCCAACCACCGCAACCTGGTCGACACATGCTACCCTGCGCCCAAAGCACTGGCCAACATCGGACCTGACTACCGCCCTAACGGCAACGAGCTCTCACGCCTCGCCTACTATGCCTCCAATAAGCCCGCCAAGCTCCTCAAGGTCGGCCAGTACCTCGAACACTCCAAGGTTCGCCCCGCCGCCAAGCGTGTTACCGGTAGCGGCAAGACAAGCGATGCTGCCAAGAGGTGCGTCTTCCGCATGTGCATGCGCATCGACCGGGCGGCCTGCTTATATTATGAAATCCGTGTTTTCTCCGGCCTCCCAAGCTGACTACCTTTTCCTCCTTCGTGCAGCTCCCTGATGGTCTCCCTGGCGATCACCAAGACGCTGATCGTCGAATGTAAGCAGTCGCTCAACTACCTGCTGCCCTCTGCACAGGCCATCCTGCTCGCTGCCCTCAGTGCGGCAGCCCGCGGCGCACCCGGTGGCAAGCGCGACCTGGATCTCTCCGCGCGCTGCGCCTCGGTCTTCTACGCGCTCTGCACGTTGACCGATCCGCAGCTGGCGAGCATCGACACGCACGCACGCAGCGCCTACCACGCCATCCTTTCCGAATTTGCCGCCATGGCGCAGGCAAGCACACCCGCGGATGCAAAGGCCGACCGCGAGGACCGCAACCGCACCAAGCTCATCGGAATCGCCGCACTCTCTGGCGCCGTCAGCGGCGACCTGCTGTACCAGGCCAGCTTTGCTCAACAGGTCGCTGCTTTCCTCCCAGCCCTACTGCACAACGTCGTGTCGTCCAACGACGACGCATCCCCTTCCTCCCCCCCTCTCTCCTCTCCCGGAAGCAGTGACGCCGTCGATGTTGCCTTTCTACGCGATGAGGCCGCGCGCGCAGCCTCAGGGGAGCTGACCTACACGCAGTTCCGCATCAAGCGACAGCCGCTCGCCACACGCCGTGCCGCGTCGATCGACGTCAGCGCCACTGCTGCGCACCGCGACGGCGAAAAGGGTCCCACAGCGCGCGACACCGCCAGCGCGGCGCTCGGCGTCCTCCAGGCGCTTCTCGCGCACGGCGACGCGAGCTACATGCAGATCATCCTCCACCACACCCTTGCCTTCTTTGACAACGCAGGCAAAGGGCGCCTCTGGGCCCAGCAGGCTTGGTGTACTTGGCTTATGCATGCCTACGTCCTCTGGGCCGCGCCCCAGTATCGTTTCGTCGTCGTCAGTGCGCTCGCTGACCGTCTCATTGAGGTCAGCGACGACGACGATGGCAGCAGCAACTCGGCTCCGGCGCAACAGCAGCAGCAAGAAACGCTACTGACGCTGCTCAGTAACATCCTTTGCAGTCCGTCGCTGTCGCTCATTGGACTAAGCACATCCGAGCTGGTCAACAACCTGCTCGGCCTCGCCGTCCGGCGCGTGCACCGCGCCCGCGCGCCCGAGGACCTCGACACAGACGCGCTGCTCCCCATGATCGTCGAAGCTGTAGGCGCGCTCGGCCAGCACATCTACTACGCCGAGCAGATGACGGACATTGCCGAAGAGGTGTGCGCGCGCATCGAGATGCTGCAGATGCCCGACGAGGAGAACCAGAAGGCCGCGCAGCACGTCAGCGCCAGCCAGCAGGGCGGCAAGGAGAGGCTGGTGGCGGCAGCCAGCAAGAAGGGCAAAAAAGCGGCGCAGAACTCCGTCGCGACTGCGACTGCACAGCAAAAGGACGAAAGCATCCGCGTCCTACTGTACTGCCTTATGACGGCCCTGCGCAAGGCGCACGCCTCGCAGGCATCCACCACCACATCCTCGTCGTCGTCGATCGCGAAGGGGCATGCTTCTGCTGCGGGCAACGGCAGTGCCGTCCCCAAGAAGGCCGCCGTGGCAGCCATTACGAATAGGAGCAAAATTCCGTTGTCGACACTCCAGGGCATCGCCGGCCTGCTGTCCTGGCCCTCAGCCGTCGCGCGGCTGCCGTTCGAGCAGACGCTTGCGCTTTTCCTGCGGCACGAGGTTGGTGCGGGCGCTTCCTTCCTGGGCAGTACCAGCAGTGGCACCGACGAGCCCGGCTCGGTGAGCGCGTCGTCGCTGCTGACCCTCACGCCGGCCGACACTCACGCAAGCGTTGACGCTTCCATTGGCACGCTGCACGCGCTCGCGGCGAGCACCTATGTGACGGCGCTTTCGCGCGCGCTGTTCGTGCCCGAGAAGCTGCGGCAGTATCCGCTCGAGGCGCTCGTGCTCGTTGAGCGCGCCAATGCCGACGTCCTCAAGCCGATCAAGCCGGACGCGATCGCGAGTGCCAACCCGGTCGACTACGCGGCGATGCAGGCTCTGCTCGTCGATGCGTTGCACGCGCTCCCGCTCCCCGCCGTACTTGCGTTCGTCCCCATGCTCGCCAAGCTCGAGCCCGACGCCGCCGCGCGCCTCGGCCCAGCTGCGCTCGGCGCATCATTCGGAGACCTCGAGGCGCAGCGTCTCGTTGCGATTAAGCGGGTTGTTGCGAATGCGTACGCGGCCATCGCCAGGGTGTTTGTGCTGCCCTCGGTCGAGGCCGCCGCTCAGAAGGTGCGTTCCTTTACGGCTGGAATGGGTTATGCCGACAGTGGTTGATGTAATCTGACTGCTCTTCTCAAACAGGCCCTCTCCAAGCTGCCCAAGAGCGATAACTTCCTGCCCGATGCACCCCCGCGGCTCGCACCACCGGACAACGTTTACCAGTTCCGCAAAGGCCCGCTGGCCGAGGGCTTTGACCCAAGTGGGCTCTTGCCCGTGCTCGACGCCCAGGCGCTCAGCCAATCGATCGCCAGGTGCGAGCTGGTACAGCGTGCGACGGGCCTCCGCGCCGTGGACCTCCAGGCCTGGCTTGATAGGGATTGGAGTGTGAGCATCGCCGTCGACGACTCGTTCATCGCTGCGTCACCGTTCCGCGACGACCTGCCGCCCGAGAGCGACATCGGCGCCGGTGTAGCGGCAGGAGGGGCTGCATACAGCGGCACAAACACGCCGGTGAGCCGAGGCTCCGTCGCTGCCGGTGCGGGGCTGCTGCCGAACACGTACGGAGGTGCACGTGCAGGGAACGCCAGCGTCAGCGAGTCGATGCTCAGCGTAACCACGTCACTGCAGGGCGATGCCAGCGGCCGTGCAAACGAGACGGGTGTCCAGGACCTGCGCGATGCTCTGCTGCCCAAGTCGACGTACACCAGCGCGGGCGTGCTCATAGCGAACGGCAGTGGCGCGAGTGCAGGCGTCGCCGACACGTCGGTGGCGTCGACTTCGTCGCACGCCGCGCGCAGGGCGAGCCGGCGCAACAGCCGCCGGACGCTCGCTGCGGGCGGCGTTGTAACGCTCCTAGATTCGCTCAACGTCTCGTCGTTACAGAGCAGTAGCCCTAGCGGCGAGGGCCAGCGGCCTGCGGCGCGTGTTGTGCCGCCATACTCTGCGTAGAGATAGATACCACTAGCGCTACTGCACTACCCACTGTCTACCATCGTTTCAGTCCTAAACCACACGCGTATATTTTTTTGTTCTGGTTTTTATATCACTAGGGGAGCGCTGCTGCTGCTGGTGTAAAGAGTCTTATAAACGAAATGCTACTGGCTGCTCTTGCGACGACGCACGTTGCGACGTCTCATTGTCGTCGCAGCGGATTGGGCCGATTTTGTTTTTTTGGAATGGGGAGGGGTGTTACGTTGTCGAGAGCGGGGGAGTCCCGTTTGGGCGACCCCAAGGGTATGTGGTGGTTTTGTTATAATAGGGTTATGCCACGGCTCGCTGGTGTGTTATTTATTAGTAGCCATTGGGGTTTGCCGCTTGGCGGCCGCGGGTGGATGGATCTCACCTTATCGCAGCTGCTGGGCTGGCGCGTGCCATGTGGGGTGTTGTGCGTGGTGTGAAAGATAAGCAGAGGGAGGTAGTAAAGCAAGCAGTGGCGGCGAGAACAGCCGGGGAAATCAGGGGGAGATTAGTTGGGGTTGGTTTGCGAGTACCATGTTCAGATTGTCAAGCGAGTACCGAGTCAGGCAGAGTGGCGCCGTGGCAGCAAGAGTGAGGCCGCGGCGAGGGCGAGAGAGTACACTGCGATACGATTGTTGATGTGGACGATGGGGGTGTGCACGCATCCAAAGGGGGGGGGTTGCTTTCTACACCGCCTGTGGTCCGCTATCTACCAAGCTCTCTATCTATCCATCTATCTGTATACACGCACACCGTATTCCCTCCTCGTCCGTGGTGATGGGTGTTGGGGCGTTGGTGTCGCGCGCTGGTGCATCGCGGCAAACCCCTGCGCGTGTCAAAAGATCGACTTGCGTCAAGTTCGACGCGCACGCCAACGCGCATCCATACCATGATGCCGTCACCGCTGCTGCGCCTTGTCGCACGCAGCGCGCAGCGCGGCGGTAGGCCCGGCGCAGCGTCCTGCGCGTCCAGGCCAGCGCATGCTGCCACCCCTCAAGCACGCACTGCAGCTTGCTACGCGGCAGTAGCGTGTGCGCCTCACACCCTCTACCACTCGCCGCGGTCGACGACCGCGGCAGCGTGGAGGGCCAAGTTGCCGATTGCACGACGCCTCTCGCCGTCACCATCGTCTCTGCGCAGTCTCCACGGCGGCTGCAGCGGCGACCCCTCGTCCAAGCAGGGGCAAGAAGACACACGCAATGCCAGCGGCTGCGGTCGGCAGAGACAGGTCGTCAATATCGCAGCCACGGTGGCCGCGATCGGCCTGCTCCTGCTCACCCTCTATGCGCCGTCGGGAACCGGTGCGGCCATCCTCGCAGAGATGCTGCCATCCGAGCAGCAGCCACAGTCCTTTTTCGAGCTGGAAACCGAGTCCGCTTCCGAGTCCGGCAGCTTCTACCCCGGTAGCACACCTGTCCCCTTCCAGCAGGCGCACCTGCAGCCCGTCGGCGCCGAGCAGCTGACGTATGTCGACCCGCGCCCGTTCCGCCACATGCACCTCTCCGCATTGCTCTCTCGCTACGCCGTCTTTGTCATGTGCTGCTTCCCGCGCCTCGTCGAGTGCGCGCCCGGCCTGCTCGACTGGACCCTCGACGGGGCTGGCAGCAGGGTTCCCGGCGTCAAGCGCGCCACCGAAGCCGTCGTTCGGGCTACGTTCTTCAAGCAGGTGAGCTGCGAGCACATTGCTCAAAAGAAAAAAAACAGGGAGGGGGGAAAGGAGGTAGGGATGCGCCTTTCTGACGAAAACTAACCCAACTCTCGCTTGTGCCACGCACCATCCCTAGTTCGTTGGCGCCGAGTCGGCGCAGGAGTGCATCCCCCTGCTGGCCCAGCTATCGCGCGACAACCTCGCCGCGCTCTTTGCCTTCTCCGTCGAGATGATAGAGACAAAGGGCGGCGGCACTGCCAACTTGGAGCACATGCCCCCGCAGTCCGCCGGGACCGCCGCCGCGGCTGAGCGACTGAGCGGGGGCGAGGGCGGGGGCGGCGATAGCAAGTACATCTACGACAGCATTATCGACGCGCTCATCGAGTCGGTCGATGTCGCCGCTGCCTTTGCTGCGCGGCCTGCATGGGCAGACTGCACGTCCGACGACGAGAGGGCCCTCCTCGCGAGTCGGCCACCGCGCGACGGCAGCACGATGGTTGCCATCAAGCTGTCCGGCGTGCTCAAGGACCCCAGTGTTCTCGAGCGCGCCAGTGCTGCCATCGTCCCGCGTGAGCACTTCAGCGCGCCGCCGCAACCGCTCCCGCCGCCGGCCGCGGCCGCCAGCGGCGGCGGTGCGCTCGCCATCCCCATCGCGGCGCTCCAGCACAAGCACCCCGCTGACGTCGCGGCGCTCAAAGAGCTCTGGGCCGGCCTACGACGCCTGGCGCTTCGCGCTCAGCGCGCTGACAACGTCCGCCTTGTCGTTGACGCCGAGTACTCCTGGTTCCAACCCGCAATCGACGCCATGTACGAGGCCCTCGCTGCCGAGTTTAACCGCCTCCCCCCGCCCGCCACTGGCGCCGAGGCTTGGTATAAGCGCGCGTGGGGTCGAGCGCTCTTTGGCCACGACGGCGGTGCAGCTGGCACGGCAGTGCCCGGGCAGGTGCGCGGGCCGCTCGTGTTCAACACGTTCCAGGCATACCTACGCCGCACGCCTTCGCACCTCGCCGCGTCCCTCGAGCGTGCGCGCGCAGGCGGATACACGCTCGGCGTCAAGCTCGTCCGCGGCGCGTATGTCGAGCAGGAGAACGCACAATGGGCCACCAAGGACGTCAGCCCCCCGCCACCGTCTACGCAGGCTGAGCGCGACGTCGGCTTTGCCGCCACCGCGCACGAGTGGCACAGCCCGGTGTGGCGCAGCAAAACTCTCACGGACCGCTGCTACGATGGCTGCGCGGTGCGTCTGGTCGAAGAAGTTGCCATGGACATGCGCAAGCCCGGCGCCTCCACCGACGCCGACGCTGCATGGCCGCGCCTCAGCGTCATTTTCGCGACGCACAACTGGCAGAGCGCCATGAAGATCACCCGCCGCATGCTCGAGTCAGGCCTCGTGCAGCCGCCGACGCCTGAGACGCTGCTGGGCAAGGAGCTCGAGGTTGCTGCTGCTTCAAACGCCAGCGCGCTTGCCAACGCCAACGCAGGCGCAAGCGCGAACGCGGTCAAACCGGAGCTCGTTCTGTTGCAAGTCGCTCCGGGCGTGCGCGGGCGCATCTGCTTCGGCCAGCTGCTCGGCATGGCCGACTCGCTCACGCGCCGTTTACAGCTCGCGTTCGACCCTGTCTCGGGCGGGGCCGGGCCGCACATGGTGCTGAAGTACATTCCGTACGGCAGCCTTTCGCTTGTGTGAGTTAACTTTCCACCGTAGGCACCGCGCTGCCTGTGATTTTTTGTTTCGAGTTGGACGCTGCGCTAACTGCCGCGGTACCCTGCTCTGCGCAGCATCCCGTACCTGACCCGACGGGCGATCGAGAACAAGTCCGTCATGCAGGGCAGCGGGGAGCAAGCTGGCGCGGCGGCGTACGAGCGCAAGCTGGCCGGCAAGGAGATCCGCCGCCGGCTCCTCCCTTTCCTACCTTGAAAGAACACGGGGCGAAATATCAAATACAACACAGATACCAGACTACAAAACCTGCAGTATGTTAGAGACGCACGCGATGCCAGACATCGTTATCAATGGACCTACAGTGTGAGCTTCTGCGCCGCATTGTTCAGATCTCCCAGTAGGTCAAGCGGTTCCTGCGTCATTTCCAACTCCTTCCACCGCAGCAGCTCCATCTGTTTCGCGACGCTGACGGCGCATCGCGGCTGCTGGGCGGTCCAATGTGCTTGGGCGCCTCTTTGCGCTTGCGCTGATGCGGCTTCGGTGCTATCCCCGGCAGCAGACGCATTGTCCAGCGGGCCCACGCTAATGGCCAAATGCCGCATCTTCTCAAGTTGGAGCTCAAGCAGATTCCTCCGGGGCGCAGGACATCCGCCTACGCTAAGACGCCGCAGCGTGCGGCCGATCGGCGCCTGCTCACACAAGGGCGTGATGATCACGTCGACGTCGAGGTTCGTGTTGGCTGACCCTTGCAGCTCCAGCTCGACCAGATTCGGAACGAGGGAGAGAGAGCGAGTGAATGATGTGTCGTATAGGAATCCGCCGAGCTTAAGTGAGCGCAGCTGCGGCCATTGCAGCTTCTCCGGAAAACAGGACCAGACCCGTAGCCTTGAGCCTGCAATCATGCTTGGCATACGCCAGGCCAGACTCACCAAGAACCGCTCGAACAGCGTGGAAGGTTTGATCATCCAGCACGGTGATTTCATCTAGATAATTGCGCCCGCCTGACGGTCGTAAGCGGGGAGCAGTTTGCTAAAGTCAGCCTCTGGACGCTGTCTGCTCATCCATTCGAATTTACGCGGCGAGACGAGCTCGTAAAAGGTCAGTGCATGGTGCAGATCGCTTCCTTGGAAACGGACGCTCAATTCATCCAGCTGCAAGCGATCAGGCAAGCACTCTTCTTGTTCCGATCGTTCTTGAGCTGTGCACGAGGGCGACGAAAACGGCGGGGATGGGCACGCCGACCAAAAGCGTAGACCATGCCGGGAGCGCCAAGATTCTTTGCGCAGCCGCGCGTCTTGTCGGTCTTTGAGCTGCTGGACGAGCTCATGCGCTGCGGCCCACGGCACGCGCGTCGCGTAAACTTTGAGACGTCTGACTTGCGGCATGTTGCGTGCTTTCCAGGCCTGTGCGAGCGAAGCCGATGATGGGAGAGGACATGGTGGACGTCGAGGAGTACCGTAGGGATGATATAGAAGAGGAATGGAAGAATGGAAGCGATGCCGAGGTTTCGTCACCACTGCTGCTGCTGCTGCTTGAAGATTGCTCGCACAGCATTGCAAGCAGCGATTGCAAAGATGGAACGGACGAGATCTCAAGATGAGACAACAGAAACGGGCGGATGTGGTACGCGAATCGGGGATGCATTGTTGCACAGACTCTGTGCTCCTATCAGCCGGCCCGTTCACTCCCATCCAAAAATAGAGTGAAATGCTCTCACTTTGAGAAAATCAACTTACAAAGTGCAAGCATCTTGGCGCAAGTGTAGAAAAGGGCCCACTCGCAAATTTCGGACAGGATCTCCTTTGGGCATCGCTCGATGGTGTTAAAGCTACCGTTATGCGGCTCCTCTTTCCTATCGATGGTACGATCAGCCTGCTTGTCGGACTGATATCCAAAGTGAGGCTCAGTGAGGTAGGCCAGCTTGCCGTTTTTCGAATAGGCTTCCTGCTGGGAGTAAAAGGAAGCCGCCTGAGGTGTGCTTGATGCTGGTGCAAAGAGAGAAGCGATGGCAGGTGCAAATGCAAGCTGTGTCGCAGCGCCGTCGCTGACTGGCATGCTCGCCGTCATTTCTCTTAGCGGGTGCAACGCAAGGAGCACACCTTGCACTACAAGTAAGATTGATGTTAATGTTGGGGTAGACTCTGATGAGTACAACAAAACCGGGGAGGCGATCGTTGCTGCCCGCTTTCGCCGGGGGTAAGCTGTCATATGATGTCCAATTTGTACGGTTCGATTGTTCGACCGACTTTTGCCTACATCTACATAGGCACCGCCAGCGTACGCGAACGCAAGAAGTGTAAGGAACCATGGGGGCTGAGAATGAAATAGCGAGGGGGGAGCTGATTACGATTGCGGTGGAGGAGCCTCTTATCCCCCGCACTCGGACACTATTTCATACCAGCTCAGGGAGAGAGGGTCTCGCTTTTGATAGCGCGAATCGCGATCTACTGATTAGATTTCCCAGGGATGAGAAGGGTAGGGTTGTCACCATCATCTGGGAATACAATAAGTCACAGCCTCCGTATAGAAGAAACGTCTTAGCATTTGGTACGAACAACAACCTTGAATTGAGAACCGTCCAAGTGGAAGCATGCACCTACCAACCCTGCAACATTGTAATCCTTTTTGGCGACGAACTCAATCGGGTGGCTCCCTGAATTATACCGACGTGCAAGCTTGCGTCCATTAGCCATCTTTGGCGCGTGCGCGTGCAGGGACGCTGGAAGATAGACCTGATGCGAGTCGCTCGGTGGCGTGTTTCATAGAAAGAGTAGACTCGCCTGATAATAATAATAAGTTCTACATTGTCGGGTCAAATGACTTGAATGAGCTATTCGCATATTCGGAGATCGGACCGAATGCACGCAGCTTTGCTGTCCTTTTACTGGAGCCGAATTGCATATTCTTCCTCAACCTTCTCTTCAGTGTTCTGCCGTCGGCTGGGTGATGTGCGTCCCGAGTTCCGGCTTGCTACCGTTTCGCCCCCCGCTCTTCTATCACTGCGTAACAGGCGCAACGAGCGAATGCGGCTCAGCCTTAATAGTGGTCGGGCTTCGATTTAACGAACGCAAAGGGTAAGCGTCGATCGCGAGGCGCCGTCGCTCGCCTTGATGTGAAGTGGTCCGAAGCAACTGATAGGTCAACGTCGCTCCGGGTGACGTCTCCGACTCGATGGTCAAGAACAAATGCAATCGTTCGGACTTAGACCAGTTCAGCCGACGTCATTCATCTTGATTGGCCATGGTTGCCGACGAAGGGCGCAGACTGACTGGGAGGTAGGAACGTCAAGGGCATGTATGACCTGGCGTGAATGCCTTGGTGACAGCCTTGACACACGCGACTTCCAATGCCCGCTTGACCAACGGGGATGCCTTTCCGACGACCGACGAGTTGGGGGAGGTCGGATTGTGATGAGTATATTGAGATGGACCCCGCCTGCTGCAAAGCTATCTCTGAAACACAGGTATGGCAAGCGCATCTCCTTTTCGTTCTGTGCTGGTTACTTTTAAAGAATCCTAAGCGACCTTGCGGAAGACAAGTATCAAGTTTCACTGGTGAATTGGTTAAAAAATATCAGCGTTTTCGTTTTCCGTGTGGTTCCCCGAATTGCGGTGATATTTGCCATTAGCCGCGGTGAGTGAGCTGGCGCCTGCCGACGCGAGCTGCGACAAATATAGGATGGCACAGCAGCGCAAACTAAGAAGGTCCCTTCGGTCAAACCCGAATCCATGCAAGTACGCACGTATGTATGTATGTATGTACGTATATCTTTGTGCATACGTATATAAAACACACTGGCGCAATGCTGCAATGTAGGCCTTCGCAGCCCGCCGCCTCACGGCATGGCGTCGCTTTAGGCGGCGGCTTGCGGGTGTCGGCGGCTGCGGCGGCTGGGACAGTGCGGCAGGGTGAGAGAGGAGTAGTAGACTGCCGCCTGCTGCCTACGGTCTCATGCCGCTGCATACACTTTCGGCTTTGCAGGGCCGCATCCCAACTTATTCGCACAGATGGCACGGCGGCGGCACCAGCCATGGCACCGCCGCTCTCTCTGCGTTGTCGTGCTTGGGACTGTGGAGAAAGAAAAAAGGCACCCCTCTAACGAGTAGCAACGTTGCGGGGCGGCTCTGCAGAGGTATCCCCCCCAGTGATGACCGTCAAACAATAACAAAAAACAGCAGCGGCTGAATACCCGGACCAGCAGCGTGCACCAGCTCAGTAGCCGAGTGGTGGTGGCGTATCCATCCCCATACAGCGGGGAGATAGCAGGAAGGAGGGGAGGGAGAGAGAGGTCCACTTGGATGAGTCGTCGCCGTGCGGTCCTGTCCCTCATACTGCACTCCGTTGCTTCTCCCGTGTTGCAGTGATCCTTGACGCGTGTACTCTTCTTCTGTCGGACCCATATACATATATGAGGCATCCTCACCCCGCCCCCCTCTCGGCGCCCACTTATCCTTCTTTTTCTTCCTCCTCATCCTCCTGGTCGTCAGCCTGCCCGCAGCACCTCTCATCGGACAAGTATCTGAGCTGACCTGGACCCGCCGCCGCTACCACCGTCCAGGGACCGAGCCCGTGCTTTATCGTTAACAGAGCAGAGCCGACACGCTGCTCTAGCATCCCCTCCACCTTTTCAGCCCACCCCGCTCGAACTGCTACCGCGGGCCTCGCAGACACGATGAAGGACTTCACAAATGGTCTCTTCAAGCTGCCTTCGCGCGAGGAGCGCATCGCCGCTCGCGCCGGCGCGCCCTTGAACCCGTTCAAGCTGGCCATGATGCTCTCGCCCATGCAGGGGGCCATGTTCTTTTCCGGCTGGCTCGCCTGGAGTGAGTCTAGCCTTTCCTCCCCTTTCTCCCAAGGCCAACGGCCGGCTGGTTCCGTGCAGCTGACGTTTTCTACAACCCCGCTCGCTCTGCAGCTATGGATGCGTGGGACTTCTTCTCCGTCTCGCTCGGTCTGACCGCCATAGGCAAAACGCTTGGCACACCGGGCGCACCCATCTCTGCCTCCACCCTCTCTACCTCCATTACGCTTACCCTGCTTTTCCGGCCTCTCGGTGCTGCCATCTTTGGGTGAGGCTTTCTCCGCCTTCGCCTCGACGTGTTGTTAGAAAGAAGAACGTCTACTGATCGCCGCCTTGCTCGCTCATTCACACAGTCTATTGTCCGATCGCTATGGCCGAAAGTGGCCCCTGGTCGCAAACCTGATCATCATCGCCGCTCTCTCACTTGGCAGCGGTAAAGTGGAGACGCTCGCTGCCTTCCTCGGTGTCCGTTGTCTTTTTGGCATCGGCATGGGCGGCATCTGGGGGATGGCCACGGCCACAGCGCTGGAGAACATGCCCGCCGCTGCGCGAGGTCTCTTCTCTGGTATCCTCCAGCAGGGTTACGCCGTCGGCTACCTGCTCGCTGCTTCCGTCAACATCTCGCTTGTGCCCCAAAAGGGCGCAGAGGGCTGGCGCGTACTCTTCTACCTTGGCGCCGGCCTCTCGCTCTTTGCCGCACTCGTCCGCGCGCTTCTGCCCGAGTCCGAGCTGTACCTGCGCTTGAAGAAGGAGCGTGCCGAGCGCGGTAACCTCGGCGGTACAAGCAAGGCCAAGACGTTCGTCAACGAGCTCGGCCACATGCTCCGCTCGCACTGGGGCCGCTGCATCTTTGGCGTCCTTCTTATGACCGGCTTCAACTTTCTCTCCCATTCGTCCCAGGATCTCTACCCAACCATTATCCAGAAGGTCAAGTTTGCTGACTTGCCTGCCAAGGCGCCACACTACGCCTCTCTCGCAACGATCGTCGCCAACTGCGGCGCCATCTGCGGAGGTCTCATCGCTGGCTACCTCTCCCAGTACCTCGGCCGCCGTCTCACCATTATCATCTTTGTCATCCTCACCGGCACCCTCATCCCCGCGTGGATCCTGCCCAACTCGTTCAGTGGCCTCGCAGCCGGTGCCTTCTTCATTCAATTTGGCGTGCGTTGTTGTTCGTTCTCTCCTGTGTGCCGGTACTCTTGTTTGCTGACAAAATTTGCGTTTCTACTATGCCATATGCAATTTCTCCATACCAGGTCCAAGGAGCCTGGGGTGTTGTCCCAATCTACTTGTCGGAGATTTCGCCGCCTGCGTTCCGTGCAACGTTTGCCGGTGTCGCCTACCAGCTGGGTAATATGGTCTCTGCCGCCTCGGCGCAAATTGAAGCGCGCGGCGGCGAGTCGCTGCAGATTCCTAACCCGCTAGCGGGCGAGAAAGGCCAGCCGAACACGATCCCCGACTATGCAACGGTGTCCGGGATCTTGTTGGGCGTGGTTTGCGCGTACCTGCTGCTCATCATCGTCTTTGGACGAGAGTACCGCGGCGCAGAGTTCGAGAAGGTCGCCCCGCCCGTCGTCCCGGGCGCCGGCCACGTGGACACGGCCGACGTCACACCCGCCAAGCATGTCTTCGACCATGGAGATGTCGAAAAGGGCAGCAACAACAGCACCCGGTCGAGCATCGAGCATGTCGGAGACAGACAGCTTAGCAGCGGCGCAGGCAATGGGCAAGACGCGGGCGATACCACCAAGAAGGCTTGAGCGAAAGAGCGAGAGCTGCGCTCTTCCTTTTGCTTTCTTCGACTTTCGTCTGCTCACCTAGCTTTGGGATTTTCTGGCAATTTTTGTTAATAACCGGTCGCATGGGACCAGCGCAAGCAAAGTAAGTGCTGCACTTGCGCGCGCGAACGAGCGAATCCATGCGCGAAGAGCTGGATGGACGGCCGGACCACGGCGAAACGCAGCCGCTACCGCGCCTGCCGCCGTCTGCCTGACTTGCCAATCCCACGAGTGCAGCGATCTGCAACGGCTCTCTGGAGTGCTTCGACGACCATGTTGAGTTACTGCATCACATCACGATCGCTTTTAGTTTGTATTCTTACTACGTCCGCAGCACGCATTTGAAAACGCAACCTACCGGTAGGAGTAGGACTTCGGGGGCTCCTATGCGCATGGGCCTATAGGACAGCACCCTGTTGCCGGGCCAGCTCTGTTTCCACGTATGTTCTGCCAGGTTTTGATATTGATCGTTAGGATCAGATAGTTGAGTGAGCCAAAGTGAGTATTCCGCGTGGAGTATATTTGAGGCGCGAGATGTGCAGTCACGAGTGCTTTCTGTTGGTGGATGGATGGGCCTGTGGCGTGTGGCACGGTTCCGTGGTGTGGTGACGTCGGGCGTGATGGCAAGCGGCTTTTGCAGATAAAGTCCTTCAAGGTACGCCCATCGAGGCCACTCAATCACTTTTCCCTCAGATTGTATCGGACCATTGCCATGTGAGTTGTAATCAATACGCTGCTATAAATGGCCTCGCAAAGACGACCGCTGTGAATTGTTTATCAACCCAAATAAGATAGGCAACTGCCATGGCGGACTTAAAGTGGGTAACCGAGTAATGGGCAGCTACCGAACTTGTAAAATGGCAACCCGGTCGCATTTGCTAATGCTTTACCCTTTGATACCGGCTTTGCAGATCGATCCTTCACTCTGGGTACCAGCATCCCGTCTCACGGTCATGGCAAGCGCAAGGGCGAAGCTTGACCAAGGACATGTTCATGTACCCTTGTAAGCAGTGCTGCAACATCGCATCAACAACGATCCTCACAATCTGACATGTCCTTGGCTTGGGCACACCGCAATTCCTGACCCATGAATACCGTCTTAAATACCCAGTGTTCATCACCGATGATGCTGACGCAGAGATTGAACTGACTTCCATGCCGAATCAGAGGCGTTGGGGCGTTAATAAGCTCGAAGGGTTCCTTGGACCGCTCGTTAAGAAGGGACTGAAAAGCGTAATCCTTTTCGGCGTGCCTGAGCGCAAGCCCAAGGTAAGTAAGGCGTTCGGGTCAATCGTCAGCTGACACTGAGCAAGGAACGTCACTTCTGGTGGCAGGACGTGATTGGGACACTCGCGGACGACCCCGAAGGGCCCGTCATCTCCGCCATCAAGACTCTGCGTAAAGCGTTCCCTTCACTGTACATCGCCTGTGATGTGTGTTTGTGCGAATACACTTCGCACGGCCACTGCGGTATCCTCTTTGAAGACGGAACGATCGACAACATGCCTTCCATCGAACGCCTTGCACAAGTTGCTGTCAATTATGCTAAAGCGGGTGCACACTGCGTAGCGCCGAGTGACATGATGGACGGGCGCATCAAAGCGATCAAGGCTGGTCTATTAAAGGAGGGCTTAGCGGGCCGAACGACGCTCATGTCCTACAGTGCTAAATTTGCCAGCGGCTTGTATGGGCCGTTCAGAGACGCAGTCGACTCAACTCCTTCGTTTGGAGACCGTCGATGCTATCAGTTGCCCGTCGCCGCGCGCGGGCTCGCACGGAGGACGATCATGCGAGATGTGGAAGAAGGCGCTGATATCATCATGGTCAAGCCTGGTCTACCGTACCTTGACATTGTCAGCGAGGCGAGGGAGCTCGCGCCAAACCACCCAATCGCGATTTACCAGGTTAGCGGGGAATTCGCAATGATTCACGCAGGCGCCAAAGCGGGTGTATACGAGCTCAGGAGGATGGCTGAGGAGACTTGCGTCAGCGCTGTCAGAGCCGGTGCAACGCTGTTGCTCAGCTACTTTACACCGGAATTTTTGGACGTACGTCGTGCAACTACCTTCTCCATTTGACCTGGAATTGCATGCTGACCCACCCGCTGGCTTTCACAGTGGCTTGACGAACCTTATGGAGCGTAAAAGTCTGTATACGGACTGAGAGCTACAGAACAGCATCCTCGCTTGCGGGTAATTATCCTCGAAAAGCGTTTTCCTTTCTGGGGTCGCCCTCAAATTCATCGATTCCGCGCTGCACTCTGCGTCCACCCATTTTCTCGCTCATTTCCATGTCAAGCGTGTCGAGACTTTCGGTATTGAAACAGTCACGAATTTTGAAGCAGAAGCCGCTGCTGCTACTTTCCAGGCGAGACTCGCTGTTGTTCTCGTCCAACGACTGCTGATCCATGTCTTTGTGACTCGAAGCCGCCAGAGCGTGTGAAGCTGATGGCGACGAAGGGGAGACTGAAAAGCGAGGCCTGAAGATAACGGAATGATTGAGTTGTTTCTCGATGAAGTTAATGTTCTGAGTGGTCACCAAGCATACTCCTTATCAGTCCTCGGCGGCGCGGATCACAGCTGCTCCTGAACCCACCGCGCTCCTCAACGGAGCGTCAAAGCAAAAGGACACTCTCTGTTTGGGTTTGTTCCCCTTCCAAAACGAGCTCGCCTCCGCCTGCTGAACTGCCGCTTTAGTCACGCTGACATCATCCGTTGCCTTCGCAAGCGGAGAGGTAGCCATCACCTCGTGGCGTGTCGTCAGATGTGGAAGCTGCGACAAGTAGAGCGAACTTCCGTAGATATGCCGGTGGGCCTGGAGACGCATGGCCTCTTGCGTCGAAAATCGCTGGCCGCACTGCATTAGGTCATGGGCCCATGCTGCCCTTTCAGAGAGATTTGGAATGGTCTGGAACTCATGGAATTCCCCAAATTGAAGGCGGCAAGTGGTTTGTGCGATGAAAGGCAAGTCGTCCTCAGAGTGAGAACGAGGCAACATTTCACTTTTATCGCGCTCCTGCTCTGCACTCAGGTCTTCATGAGCTCCTTTGCAGAGGGGTTTCAGCCACTTTGGCGGGCACTGAATGTGCTCTTTCCGCGTTGGTTCGACTGCAGGGCCTTCGCCGACGACGTCCAGATATTCTGAGAAGGGCTCAGAATGGCCTTCGACCGTGTGAGAAGCAACGCTGACTTTGCACGCGTCCCTATTGTATGCGCCGGTGATTTGATTCTCTGCACGGTATATTCCTGAAAGGGTGCCTTGCCCTTTAGACTTTCTCATCGTTAGGCATGGGCTGTCAGTGGAGAGCGAATGGGTCTGACCGACGGCCATTGACACTGCCGACAGAGATGGCACAGAAGGTGCAGGAGTACCAGGTGGAAGTGTGAGGCGTTTGTGTGGCCCTGTGGCATGAGATAATGAGATACCAGCACTTCCATAGCGTGGTAGAATATCTAAACCTCATTCGAGCCCGTCAGCAGCAGGTTATCAAGCGCATACAGTCAGCTTTCAAAGGGATCTATCAGGCGGGCTGCTCAGGAACCTATGCGACGATTCTGACCATTCATTCGTACCGACTTGGTTCTATCTTTCTGATTGAGCGTCAGCCAGATAGGTTGCCAGTCACTACTTTCTCGTCCAAGCAAGGAAAAATGAAAATAGGTCAGTTGAGGGACAGATATAAGCGGCAGGAAAGACGCTGCGAAGGTGGTTGAGAGTGTACCTTGACCACACGCCAGAGTCGCTGTTGTTGCCATCTTCTTCCTTCTGATTTTTGCGAAGCAGTTTTCCAATCGGTTTCGTGGCTCTTCCTGTTGATTTTTCAAAAGCAGCTTTCCGTTTCTGCTTGTGACTTGAAGCGGACGTATCGCTCCATTTGCGGCGTTGCCCAGCAAGCCGCATGGGTGTGATGGAAGTGTGCGCATTCGCCCTCTCTTTCCTGCGTTTCTCAAAGTGAAACATATCTTGGGAATCAAAGCCTTCGGAAATGGGGCACGAGGGTAGATTTGAATGGCTGCCGAAGTGAGCGTCAACGTTCAGGAATAGGTGATCGTTTGCGTTACGGAGGTTGATTGAAACAGTCTGAAGAATTCTCATCAATCGACAAGTCGCGTGGTGAATATATCTGCAAAGTCACTTCCCGCAAGAGGTCCAGAAGATGGATTCCCATTTGCTGACAGGGCACTTGCAAAGGGAAAAGTCAACGATTGACATATTGACACGGTCTTTTCAGGAAGCCCGAAGGGACATGGGCCCATACAGATGAAGGCGAGTAGGGAAGACAGAGCGAGACAAAGGGAACACACCTGCATAACAGACAGGGTTGATTTAGGCTCTACAATGCTTACTGTCCTTAATCTGCGTTACTCTATGCCATACTTGGTCGCGAACACGGACAGGAGGATGACGCCGGGATCAAAGGCTGAGACAGAGTCTGATAGTAGCTGGAAAAGCTAGTTGACCTATTAGTCCACGAAGCTAGAGTGCCGCACAAAAGGGCGCAGATTTATGTCAATTTTGAGTTTGTTGGACGTCTGCGCAAAGATGATGCTGACTGTAACTGGGCAAAACGGCCGATGCGACCGTGACATCCTCCTTTTTAGTGGTTTGAGACTGGGATTTGGTCATAGTAGCATCGTTGTCCCTGTGGGCCGCGTATAGAGGCAGAGTATCAACCGAGCGACTCTGCGCGCGGCCATCGCTGCATCTAAGGCCTGGGAACGCGCTAACCGGTTGAGGTGCGAAGCCGTTGCCTGCATCGAGTTGAAGAGCATTTCCTAAAGATGAGCGAGAGTTGAGTGCTCCGGAGGGCGCTTGAAGGTCGACGGAGACTGGTGTACGAGAAAGAGCGCGTGGGATGCTGAAATTGGACATTTCATGGGCTCGAGCTGGGCCAGCGGTTGCGAAGCGTGATGTGATCGAGTATCTGTCGGGACGTCCAAAGGCTTTCTTGCGAGCCTGTCTCTTTTCAAACTTTGCTTGCTCTTTTTCGCGCTTATCCGCATCACGCTTGGCAACTAAAAATCGGTCCAACTGGATGTACCGATCATACAATTGCTCTACCCGGCGTGGACGACAGTGGTGTTCGGGATCGTAGGGGCGGAGGCCGAGGGTACTTGAACTGGCGATGCTAGCCACCTGAGTCTTTATGCTGGCCTGATCGCTCCTTTCATCAGGAAAACAAAACGCATCGGGAATTTCAGCCGCGGACCTAGCCTGCTGGCGCTTGAAGTTGTGCTCGCGGTGCCAGCGAGAGCATTTGGCGAATGGCAGGATGCACAAAGCGGCAAGCTTGTAGCGCCTTTGCCATGCGCGGCACAGCAGCAGTACAAGCAGAAGCAGTAGGGGGACACCGACGAGCAGGACCGTTGGAACGACGGTGTTCACGATCCTTTGGTGTTCTGCTGCTGCCTCACGCTCGGCGGCTGTGGCGTTTCCGAATCGAATACCGCTCGTTCCGTCTTGTTCGTCGTTCAGACGACCATCGCTAGTGCTGTTATTGTACACGCCCCTGCAAATATGCAGCCATGCGTCTACATCGGCGCGGGTCAGATCAATGACATTGGGGTCACGCCAAGGAGGAGTGTTGCAGGTGGCAGTGTAGCGCTTTCCGTTCACCATAGCGGCGATGCAATTCGTTCCAGAGAAGCCACTTCCCAGGAGGAACGCAAGAACGAGCCATGTAGCCAGGTTGCGTGCGATCGAAGATGACATGGCGGACAGAAATGAAGAAGCACCCAACGTTATGACGGTGAAGGTTCCGCTTGCGAACCGTAAAGCGGGGGTGGTGGTTAGAAGGGAAGGTTAAAGTCGGAATGCCCAATCAGCAATAAAGTCGATCAGCGTTTGTCCAGGCAACGCTCAAGGAGCGAGAGAAGGACCCAAAGAGATCAGGCAAGTGTTAAAAAGACGCGTGGAGCGCCAGCTAAGGTTACCAAATTTGCTTGTTCCTGTCTCGACGATGCTCAAGTAGGTCCTTGGCAACTTCCTGGCGTGACTCTGTTTGTAAATTTGTTCCCATTGTACAAGCACAAACAGGACGGTGAGACGTGATCAGAAAGCGCTAGTAACTGTCAGAGTCACGATGGGTTTTGGATATATGGATAGGTCGCAAAACTGCATGGCGACGGTATGCGGATGAGTCGCTTGCATTCTGATGAGCTTCGCGCTCTCGCCGCTGGCGGTGTGTGCTTCCTCCATTGGATGTCAGGGAATAGAATCAATCTGGGTGCAGGAAAACCAGTCAGGATAGTCAGCACACGAAAGAAAGAGTCAATGATGTTCTTGTCACAGAATGGTGGGACGAGCGTGGAAGCTGAGGAAGCGCCTTGGAGAGCTCGATGGAGATGGGGGCAACACAACGACCGTACAATGAAAGTGGGGGTGAGTCGTTGGCTCTTTTCCACCCGCAGCTCTCATTTCTTCATTTGGTCTCTTCCAACGCCTTCATTCAATTCCATACATTCACCTTTCGCCGTTCACGATCTCCAGTGTTCTCCTTCCACTACCAATCCAAGGGAGCCCTACGTCAGTTGACGTTGATGCTCGCACTGGATCTCCCCCTTTTGGAGGTCATTCAATATTGACGCTCGACGTTTACGTCCCTTGCGCTCCCCCCGGGCCTGTGGCGACACTGGTCGCGCGTGCACGCGTTGATGCTGAACTCAGCACTTATGAGCTTCTGACTTCACTCCTCCACGCTTTTTCAGCCGATCTATTTCTATCTTGACAGTCTTTATGAACAAGCGTCTCCGTGACGGATGGAGACGGACGCGCCATCGGGCGTCGGCTCTGCTGTGCTCAGCAACCTTGCGCAAGACAGAAAACAAGTGCAGATGACGAAGCAACGACAGCAGACCCCGGAGCCCCATTCACAAAAACTAGTACACGGGCTAACACTACCACTGTTTGCCATGTCGTACTCCACTGATGAGCATCGTTAGCCGGGGTCTCGAACTCACGGATTGTGTGCCGAAATGGTTTCATCCGACCGACTCGACTCCCTTCCCTAATTCGAATGACCGTGATGAGAGGGTGGTGAGACTGCGCAGCCAGTGAGATAGGCTGTACAGATGGAGGAATCGGGAAAGACAGACTGCAAGTTGGCAGGATACAACGTGATGCCATATATATGTGAGCGAGTCCCTTCGCTAACCTGCTGACGAGGCCAGACTGTGGTCTTCTATCTTCCACGAGACCTTACTTTTCGATGCGCCGGGCTTCAGGAGTCGATGTTCACTATGGATGACTCACAACAGAGCAAAGCGCTATCTTGCTACGCTCAGCTGGCTGGATCTGACAGGCGCTCAGAAGCTCGTCCATCGCAGCTCCTTGATCTACACGCTCCTTCTGTGCGGCTACAGCAAGGCCCCCTTGAGATGTGGCGTCTACCAGAGACGTCCATGCTCCAACATCCACTGCAGCCATCACATATAATGCATCCCCCGCAGTATTTTGCGGCACCGGCACCTGCATCAACTGATCAACAAAATCCACCGGGCTCGGCGTCGCACCTATCCATCAATCGAACATTCTTGCCTTCTTCTCACAGCCATGTGTCCTACCTCCCCCCATTGTCGTCGACCCAAGACGAGTGTGCTACGCATACACCGTCTGACCATCGTTTCGAGACATCCGGGATGCGCGTGAATCATACGCAACATGTCGAGCATCCTGCGACCGCACATGCCACACGGCGCCAGCAGCTTGACCCGCTTGCGCTGTATACGAGCAGAGACGATAATCACATCCCACCGACGCCGGTCTGCCCGAATATGGAGCATCTTGTGAATGGCGGAAATGCGGAACCTCTTCAATCGAGCCCTGTTGTCTTCAGAGACGAAACCAGCGGCCAGCAAGAACACTTCTCTCAGTATACCTCCTCTTCAAGTCTGATGTACCGGGAAGATGGGGGCATCTCCTCCAACGAGCACCTCGATGCTAGGTCTTCACTGGCAGAAACCGTAGGCCTGCCCGTCGGCATTTCAGAGGCTCACGTCGCCTCACCCGATGCACCTCGTTCGTCTCTCCAGTCAAGCGTCCGGTCCGAACAAAAGAATGGGAATGGTGCGAATGGCAGCAGTATCAAGTCTTCTACAAGCAAGCGTACAAGGCGCCCAAGCAATAAGGACAGGCCACCACGTACAGAAGAGCAAAGAGCCAGAAGAAGACAGCAGAACCGCAATGCACAGCGAAACTTCAAGCTTAAAAAGCAAGCGTATGTGCAGGGAGTGAGTTTTGCTGTACAGCACCCTCGGCGTTGGAAACTCACTGAACTGCTTTTTGTTGTTCAACCGCAAAGCTGGAGCATAGCGTCGAAGAACACCGAGCGGAGATCGACAAGGCGAACACACAGAATGAAAAACTGATGCGGCTGGCCAGCAGGCTGCAACTTGAAAATTCACGCCTCAGAAGATTGCACGGCTTGCCTGCCCAAAGTGTGCTGCCCAACATTCCCAGTCTTCGTGGTAACTCCGTGCTGAGCGCGTCTCAAACTCCATTCGACTCTCGATCTGGCTCCCTCGGTCCAGTCAGTCCGTCGATTGGTCAGCGTGGAAGCGTACCTGCTGCCAGTTTGACGAGCATCGTGCCGTCAATGCCTGCGGCACAAATGGAGATGCAAGGAGAACAAGAAGTGCCTCACCGAGTCTTAATGCAGTCAACTTCAGTGCAAGCAGAAATGTACGACTCTGTCGAGGAAGGAAGCGGTGGCCATGCCGCATCTTCTGTCGTTGATACACACCAGCGTCACTGGCCTTCTGAGGCTGCCCCGCGTACGCCTTCAACGCTCCAATCAGGTATCATACCCGAACAGAACAATCCAACAAGCCTTAGTTACTCCGCACCTGGTCATGAATACGCTGGATTGTGGTCGGCTTCGCCTCTTTTCCAAGACAGGGGTTTCCCATCCCTTTTCAGCAGGCGGTTCCCGAAGGAGCTAGCAGCACAAAACAGTATGGCTGGGGTAGATCTACTGAACTCGTTCAGAAATAAGGCAATGACGCTGCTTCGCGGCTCTCAGGACTCAGATGGGCTTCAAGCAACGCCATGGCATGCATCCAACGACAATGCTTTGCAGAGGACCGATTTGGCTGAGAGAGAGCTCAAGGATGAACAGCATGATGTGGTGGCCATCCAGCGGCAGCACGGTTCTAGCGACTGGCTCGCAGACCCAGCTCGCGGTTCCGAGGTTTCCCAGAATGCACTCATGCTCTCCAGCTCGCTACGCTCAACGCCACGCAGCCCAATATCCGATCAAGACGAAACAGAGCATGGAGAGGCATTCCCGCCGCACCAAGAGGCGAACATACCCTATCGCACAGACATAGGCTCTTCGCGTGACGCAAGTCCGAGTCCACTGGTTCATCGCACTCCCTCTCTGGAGGAGCAGGATCCTCGAGCAGAGACGTCTCCTGCGTCTGAAAAGTCTGATGGTTCCCCCATTGTGCAACGCGCAAGTACCATTGCCAAGCAAGGATCTGAAGGTGCGGACGAGCGTGCGCTGCTTTCGATCAAGGTTGGGACTCCATCCGGGTGAGTGAGGGAGCATGTATACCTGTTCTCATACCTTAAAGCTGATTCATCGCACCGGATGACAGCGTGCTTACACCTTGCGTTTTCGAACAACACACCGGCGTCCATCCGACCTCACGTCGAGTCTCAGCCATGGCGAATTCGGCGGGCGATGAGCTGCAACCGCAAGAGCAAGTTGGCGTACATGAGGACGAGAAAGCAGAGGATCATGCATGTACTACCTGTGGGGAGCTGAAACTCAACATGCCGTCACCAGCCTTCGTCATGGGCTTTGAAAGCCTGCTCGAGGCTGCGTCCTCTGCAGGCGATCTTCAATAACCTGCGACGGAATCGAACGAAGTCATGTTTGCCGCACCGATATGTGAGGTCCGAGACAGATTGGAAAGCAATGCACGCGATATCACCGCACTGAAATGTCACGGTCCGGCGCGCATAGTGTGGATCAACATCTGTGCATTTGCACCCGTGTTCTGGCTTGCTATTTTAATGGTCGACATGCATGCTTTCGCACAAAATAGATTTCCTGAGCTCAGGGCCCGGGAAGCTTGAGATCTGTATGGATGAGCGTCAAAATTTGGAGATAGTCTGGCTCGTTATCGGGAGTGATCAGGCCGTGGCGGATGTAGAAATCAATTAAGACAAGCGCACAATTCGGCTTGAATTCAAAGTTGCGCATCCGTTGCATCGCTTCTTCGAAGCTCATAAGCGTGAAATATTCAGCCTCGCCATCCACTGGTGCCGGAATTACTTTTGAAGGCAGCAAGATCTCGTATGTGTATCTGCGAAAAGCATCCACACGTAATATCAGTCTCTATGCGAATAAAAGCTGTGCATGGGCTTCAGTTCGACGCACTCTACCTCTGGCTGAGTGAGGCCTTGATGATTCTTGTAGAAGTACGAAATGGCGCCCGTAGACTTTGAAGGAAGAGTTTCAGGTAAGTTCGCAATGGGTTCGCGACGGTGACATGATCTGATACTCTAAGCTCACTCTGAGCCCCGACCTCACGAATGCGTCTTCCAGCCCGGCTTCCTCGCCGCATTCTCGTACCATCGATTCAAAGGGCGATTCACCTGCAGTTATGCCTCCTACAGATGGTGAGGCAAAAAGTATGAGCGAAGAACTTCGCCGATTTCTCCCTCATTTTCACTTGCCTGCTACTGTGTTGTCTAGCATTCCAGGAAAAGTAGATTTAGTCTTAGACCGTCTCGGGACCCAGACTTTCATGTCCTCGGTATAGCCCTGAATCAAGTGACGAAACAATGATGCGAATGAGTAAATGAAATGAGAACGCTGATTCTCCTCATTGAATTATGCTTACCGTACAATGAACCCCAAAAGTTGCGAAGCCGAAGAGCGAGCATGCTGATCGTTCCATCTTGAAAAGAATCTCGCGCTGCTGTTGTAGCCCACACCTTTCTGGTCCATAAATGGCATAAAGTTCGTCTCTCCACCCATCAAGAGATGGAAAGCGCCCACCTTCTCTTAGCTTCTGCACCAGCTGTCCAATCTGTTGTGTTCTCTCCTTTTCCGTCCGACCGGAAAAGTTGAGCATGACCGTTGCATCAGGTTTAACTTGCAGCAGGCTGTCCTCATTGTCGAAAAGGCCTAGATCTTGCAAGTCTGATTGGATCGTCCACGGCATGAAGCCGACGCCAGATACGGGAAGATAGGACTCCTGTATCAGAGGTCCATCAGCGACCCCAGCTGTCGTAGGAGCGTATATGACGCGCCCGAACGAACGGTCAAGCCATGGGTTGTGATTGTGACACTGTCTGACGACCTCCAGAAGCAAAGCGCTCATGATGATAACGGATAGTCAGGACCTGGTCCGGCCTTCAGCCAGAGACAAGACGGCACACTATGCAGAATGCTTTCTTAGCTCTATATCACGGCGTTGGGAGAGGCTAAACTTGAACTCCGACTTCACATCAGGTGGGGGAACATGAGCATAACTGGTCGAGAATCGAGAATTCAAGGTATATGAAATGGTACTTGTTGACCATTGACTCAATCTGATCGGAGCATCCGAAGATTTAAAAAGAAAGAAAAAAACCCTGCGGCTGTGGGTCTAAGCGTCTTTCGTGAGTGCATTGTGACTGCCAGGGGGCCAAACAGTATCATCACTGAGAAATCCATGCTTGGAGTATCTACAATGAAGTGCCCATGGGAAGGAAGAGAAGTCCGACATGTAGGTACACGCTGGGTGGTGGGAGGGCGACCTGCGCTGGCAAGCAGGGACCCGCCATCGCAGTGCGTCGGTGACAACGACTTGTAGCTGCGGCGTGTATAATTGGACGTCGTGATAGCGAGACGTCCTACATGCCCTGGCGAACCCAGTCCACAAGGTCGGCAATGGTCGGCGCGGATTGAGCATTCGAATTGTGCGATACAGACGCAGACTGAAGTTGCTTCGCGAGTCGTTGTGGTGAACCCTTGTCGCCACTTTGGCGTTGTGCTAAATTGAGCAGGCCGAGGAAAACATTCTTGCAAGAGACTGTGTCGTGCTCGAGATCATACTCTGTGAACATCTCCAACGCTTCTGTTGCGCCTTTGTCATCTCCAACTGCAAGCAAGACCTTGATGGCTGCATTGAGGAGCTTGACGAGCAGTTTGTTGGTTGACGGACCCCGCTTTTCGCCGGTTTTGCCAAGCAATAGTCTCCGATTGGAGCGCAAGTGCTGGAAAAGCCGCGAAGGAGAAGCCAGCATATCTATGTGCGCATGCTCCAGACGTTGCCACATCTGCTTCACGGACGCCGCATCCACTCTTCGTCCAAGCCCATGCATCACCAGACTGAACTGTGCGCGAAAGAGGCATTCGTAAGTTTGCAGATGAACGATGCCATTTCTCATCTGGAGAGTGGCGCCGAGCTGAAGTAGTAGGTCAGCTACCGCGTAGATTTGCGCGTTGCTGGCTTCGAATGCGACAAGGAGATTCAGCGCGGGGATGTCGAGCGAAATTTCATCCGCTTGCATCATGTTTTTGATCGCACGGACGCTGTAGGCTCGGACAATGTTGATATCCGAAAAGCCAGCAGCTCGCCACTCGGAACTAAATGCTGAAAATTCTGGGCTCTTGCGGATGAAGTTGGGTTTGGTTCGTACGGCGCCGCGCATCATCGCAACAAATGGTTTTGCAGCATCTGCATAGGTAGCCGCATCTGCTTGCGCAACGTACTCGCGGTAGCGTTGGAGCCAAATTTCCGCATGAGCGAGGTTTCCTGCTTCTACTCGGCACTCAATCAAGGTCGCCCAGATCCTGGGGTCATTGGCCAAGTCGCCTCTAAGCTTGCTGGCGGTGGGTGCCGCACCTGGCCTCGGTCGGAAAAGTACGGATTCTTCATCCGTATCAGCAACTGCGTCTTCTTCATCCCCACGTTTTGGCTCGCCTTCGTAGTTATCGCTACGCTCTGCGAACAATTGTTCCGCTTTTTCCGGTTTTCCAGCTTTGCCAAGGGCGAGGGCAAGTTGCTGCATGAGCTCGCGCCAAGCTGGCGACTCCCACTGCCCCTTCGAGGTCTTGTCGGTGGCATAAATTGTAAGCATGACATCTGCTGCAGCTCCTAATGCCATGCGGTCGAAATGTTCTGTGAACAGACTCAGCATGGTACTCGCCGCTTTCGGTGGTGGCCGACGACCAAGCACGCCGAAGGAGTCGAACACCTCTGAAGCTGCAAACAGCACCAGCGCTTCTTTTGAGAGCGACATCACCGCTTCTTGAGATAGTTGATTAGGCCTCCAACGCCGAATGAAACGTTGTTGCAAGGAAGTGAGGTCATCGAAAGGGCTCCTCGCAGAGCGCGTTTGGGTTGGTGACAGCTGGTCTACTAGTTGTTGAAGGAACGCAACCAAATCATCTAAAGCTGTATCGAGGCTTGAAAGGTGACCCGCAGAGACCAGATTGTCCAGAGTGACACCCTGTGCATGCATGCGGCGACGTACAAGAAGCAGGCGTTCTACGTCTCGCGCGCAGATGGACATAGCTGCGACGATGTCTCCGTGGGCTAGTAACGCTTGAGTCGCTTGCTCGAGACGCGGCAATGGATGCTTGGTAGGGAAAAGGCCAATTGGGTTGCTTTGAGATGCCATATCTGCTTGTACCATGTCAGAAACTCCGATATTTGGTTTAGCTTTGGCGGGTTGGTCTGAGCATGGTGGAGGCGGTGGTCGGAAGGGCACGAAGTCGAGGGAAGGGAACTGGTTCCGTGCGAGTTGTCCTCTGGCGCCAAGAAGCTCCGTTTCAGGATGATAATGTGAATGACTAGCCAATGATTGTGTTACGAGCTGTTGCAGGCTAAGGCCGGGTATGTCCAAGACCGGCCAGGACGAACCGGCGTGAGCGTGCGAGAGCCTTCGACGGTGTTCAAGCGAGCCACCGCCGGATGGCGTCCCCAGAACTGCGAATACTGCATCGCGAAACGCGAGGTGCGTGGCCTGCCTTGAACCGCGTCGAAGCATTTTCGCTTGGCATGGGGGCGGCGAGTGCTCATGAAGAACTTGTCAGAAGCGTTGGCTCTTCAACGCTGCATACCGAGTGGAATGTGCTCACATATATGAAATAACAAGGCGCATGGAGCAGCCAGCAACAAAAAAAAGCGGAACCCGGAAGAAAGCCCGAAATGCTCATCACGTCAAGATATACGTGATGCGCACCCACATGAACTATCTGGCTCGTGCGCATGATGCTGATGACTTATGTCCGTCCATCGTCATACATTGCTAATTAAACTGATGTACTTCGTCACGGCGCTCCCGCTTCGCCACGCAGTCTCATCGTCGGGTGCTCGATTCCAAGCAGGCTCTCTTCTCACTGTGGCGGAGGGTATCAGTGCCTGGAAGGTCCTTGATAGAGGAGAGAGTGCAGAGTGCGCGGACGGCTGACCTTTGGGAAAGGCCAAGTCCATCATGGCCAGCATTGCAAGCTCGGCAGCTGCACTGCGCCTTCCTGCTCTTCTTGCTTCCACTTGTACCTCTTCCTGTCGTGCGTTATCTGGCAGCGCTAGCACGATGGCACTTGCTCAAATGCCGCGCGTCGCAGCGGCGCACCTCAACCCCGTCGCGGGCTTTGTCGGTGCAATCGGCAATACTCCCCTCATTCGCCTGAACAAGCTCAGCGAAGAGACCGGATGCGATATTTTGGGCAAGGCAGAGTTCATGCAGCCAGGTGGTAGTGTCAAAGACCGAGCAGCACTATTTGTTGTGAAGGATGCTGAGGAGAAAGGTGAGACTACCGCGACGATGCTGGACCTGGTTATTGCTTCCATCTTAGCATTGACACTTGGTGCTTTCCTACGACAGGCCTGATCAAGCCTGGGGGTACTATTGTGGAGGGAACTGCCGGAAACACCGGCATTGGTCTCGCGCACGTCTGCCGCTCGAAGGGATACAAATGTGTCATTTACATGCCCAACACGCAATCTCAGGAAAAGATCGACCTCCTGCGCATGCTAGGGGCAGAAGTTCATCCGGTCCCTGCCGTTGCGTTTGACAACTCGGAGAACTACAACCACCAAGCTCGCCGTCATGCTGAACGGCTCGACAATGCTGTGTGGACGAACCAGTTTGACAATACGGCCAATCGGAGAGCTCATATCGAGACCACCGGCCCAGAGATTTGGGAGCAAACCGATGGTGGCAAGCTGGACGGCTTCATCTGTGCAACCGGCACCGGCGGTACACTCGCTGGGACAACCCGGTACCTTAAAGAGAAGAGCGGAGGAAAGATCAAGTGCTGGCTTGCTGATCCTCCTGGGAGTGTCCTGCATTCGTACATTCAATCAGGAGGCAAGTTGATGGAGCGACAGGGCGGCAGTATAACCGAAGGCATTGGTCAAGGTCGTGTCACGGAAAATCTCAAGCCTGACATCGGGTTGCTGGACGGAAGCCTTCATATCCCAGACGAGGAGAGTATCAAGATGGTATACCGCTGTCTCGACGAGGAGGGTATCTACATCGGTGCCAGCTCTGCTCTCAATGTTGTGGCTGCAACTCAAATGGCGCAAAAACTCGGCAAAGGGAGTCGTATCGTGACCATTCTCTGCGACGGCGCTTACCGCTATCAAGCCCGTCTCTTCAGCCGAAAATGGCTCGAGTCGAAAGGTCTTGTCAACGCCATTCCTGAACACCTCCAGAAGTATATTGTACTAAATTAAAATGCCTGATATTACAAATGATCAAGCCCGTGAAGCGAAAAGATGCTACGTTACCGCTTGCATCCCAAAGCTTCAGTCCCTTCTTTTTGCATCTAATACTGTTTGTGCCAATGATGATTTCATCGTTGGCAACCTCCAAAGGACCTTCTATGAGTTCTCTAGCGGTGTATGAGCGGGCCACTGCTGACACCGGAATGCAGGAGTACATTTCAGAGTCTACGTGTGCCACTGGCTCACGGACCTGCCGTGGAGCTTGAAATGAGAGGTCGGAAATGATCCGTGATGTCGGTATCTCCGTTGTCATAGTCAAACTTGTCATTGCACTTGCGATTACCATAAAGTGAATGCATATAGCGTAACGCGAGGGACACGCGGACAAGCATCTCGCGCGCCTTTCCTTTGGCGATGGCCTGGCCCTTGCTGTCTGTAATGCGAGTCGAGGCTTCGCGCAAGCGGTTTTCGAGCGCCTCCAACAAGAAGAGCCGGATTTTGTCATGTTTAGGCCTCATTCCGTAGAGCCAGACAAAGCAGTCCAAAGCTTGACCAACCGCCGATCGGGGGTTCGGCGGCGTCCACAACCTCGTTGTCATTGCTGTCTCGCTGGTGGCAAAGCGGCAGTTGTCCGCCGCTCCATCATCTAACACATCTGAGGCGGCGGTCGCGTTTTTCAAGCACATCTGCAGAGCAAAGTCACTAAGAGCGTAAAGAACGACGATGGGCGCGGATTCCAACTCTGTGAAGTCTGTGTCTTGGGTGATGTGAAACGGATTAGCTGGGTCTTCATGATCGATAGCTTTCAGAACTGCCGGTAACGCCTGCTCGATAACTTCGAAAGATCGTTGCGCCATGGCTGGGCTGTGCCGGTGCACTAGGCAAGAGGCTGCGACCCATCTTGAAATGTTCCGAGAGCTTGGGCTCTCAGCTGGTAAGTGCTCCAGCCAGTGTCGGACATGTGAGAATGGCTTGTCTTTGAGCAGTTCAACTAACTTCCTCGCGATGGAGGCCTGACCGTCCGTGTCAAGCGACGGAAATAGTGAGGCGTCCCGAGCTGTACTTGGAAGGACAGGACCTCCAAAAAGTTTCAAAGCGAGCGCTCGACTCCGAGTCTGCTGCCCTTCCAAGGAATCCAGTCCGAGCCAGTATACTAGCATCGCAGCGCTGGCACGATCCTTTTGTTTCAGAACGCCTTTCGGCGTTAGGCTCAGTTGATCAAACCTGCATCGAAAGAGAGACACATTAGGGTCATTTCTGCAAGGATCGACCGATCTACTCACTGTGCGAGAAGGTCAAAGACATCCAGGAGCCTGCCCGTGAGTCGTAGTCGTGTGCTTCTCTTCATCGGAGTGCATGTTTTTGCATCGTTCAGCTTACCAGCAAGGTGAAGCAGGTTTTGCGATTCTGTCGACAGTGTTGCCGTTCCAGTGTACCGCTGAGCAGCCATTTTCGTGGGAGGAGGCAGACTCCTAGCCTTCTCGTCTAGGCAGGTCTTAAGCACGAGAGGGCGCGCTCCTAGCATCGAAAAAGAGCGCGCGATGCGTTCGAATAGGGCTGTGGCAAAGGCCCGAGCATGGAAGGGGTGGGCGATTTCGGAAATTGCGCAAGCAATGGTCGATAGCGCTGCTTCATGGAAGTCAGAATAGATCGCGAGGTCGGCAAGCCAACTCGCGATGTGTGATGCGACACACTCGTTCACGATGAGGTGACCGATAAAATTGTGGAGAATACCTGCTTCAAAAAATGCATGCAAAGCGACTGGTGCTGCACAAGGGAGAGAGCGGCTGTCAACCGGGAGGGCTCGTACCTTTTCTCGCAGCCAAATTATCTTACACTTGGATGCTAGGGTTGCCGCATCAAGAATTTTGGAACCAGTCGGCGCTGACCAAGGTGTTGCGACCGAGACATTGGGTACTGCGATGTGTTCTTGCAGCCAAAACCACGTGTCTTTGCGTAACTGCTTGGCCTTGGCATTGGCCTCGTCCTGCTTGGTGTTTTGAGCGCGATCTGCCTCGACAATATCGACAACATCAACGCGTGTATCCATCACATCCTTGTCTTTTGACTTGCTTCCTCTGGTATTCCCTCTTGATTCTCTAGATTCAATGGCACCTTTGGAAGCATCTCCCGCTATCTCATTGAAAAGAGAGCGGAAATGGTCGAGCTCATGCGCATTTCCGTTTCCCTTTGGCACATCAGCTAAATTGACTGGGCTCGATCCCAGCGCTTTGCTCTGTGCCGCCTTGTTGGGACTCGTTTCATAGCTAATACTACTTTCGCTATCGGATCCCGCGCGCATATCCTCCCAGGTGTCGAAGGCTTCGCACTCGACATCGCTGGAGCGCTCCCCGGCCTTCGAGCACCCCTCGACTGTTTCGCCGTCCGACCAAAAAAGCCCGCGCTCTGCCTCCTCTAGCACTTCGGCTGCTTTGATTTGCTTGGACAGCGCTTCAAGAGCAGCAGCATTCGTGCCGCGAGCGCGGTCATCCTGGCGCTTCTTTAAGAGCCTATCCAGAAATCTATTCTTTGGCTTCCTGGGTGTATCGCGCGCAGGCGAGTTCGACCGTGCTGCAAGCAGCATCGGTTTCTTGTCAATCAGAGCACTCCTGGGGGTTCCTGACAAGCCTTTTTGAGCTTCCAGAGCCGACATTCGAATGCGCGTTCCTCTGGTGCTGATGGGCCCGTCATCTAGGACCCCAAGCTCCGGCGTACGAGTGTTGCTGGTGATCCCAGTCCTTGTGACGGCATCGAGCACGGGCTCCATCCCAGCTGCTTTGCGCGCTTCCACTCGGGCCGCTGCCCTCTTCCTGATGAGCGCAAGGAAGTCGACATCTTCGTCATCCTCGTCGCTCCCTCCATCACTCCCTCCACCAGTTCCCTCATGGCTTCCTCCACTCTGATCTTCTGATTCGTCAATTGATGGAAGCTGACGGTCACTCCTGCGCTTGCGAGATTGACTGATAAGGCTGTTCTTCTTGCTGCGCGGAGCAAATTTTTCATGGCCATCGATGCTGCCGTCTTTGTCAGACGAGGCGCTCTGATCGTCCTCGTCCTCATCGAACTGCAGAGCGCGCTGGCATTTCGAACGAGCCGGCAGCGTGCGTGCGCGCGGCGCACAACGGATAGAAGCATGTGGCATGCAGAGCAGCGGGTTGCCGAACCGGTCCATCTTTTGACTCGTCGGCTTCTTGGGCACGAGCTCTTCAGCAGCTTCCTCCTCATCGATGCTGGTTGCGCCCGGAGGCGAAGAGATGTGCTCAACCTCGTCCGCGGCACGCTCTGACGTGGATATCCACGAAATATCCGCGTCCTCCAAGCGGCGCTTCTTGAGAACGATCGAGCCAGCAGCGCTTGCGCTGGAATTGGGGGCTTGCAGTTTTTCTGGCGAAGGGAGTTGGAGTTGCTGCAGATCTAGTTCGGTCCTTTTCTTCTTCGGTGGCGAAGGCGTGCCGCTAGATCCCGATCGTGCTGGACTAAGCGCTGCCGAATCTTTGACTGAGGCATCTTGTGAATATGCTTTCAGAGGGCTCGGGTAAGAGGGGGATGAGTGTGGCGTCAGAACCTGGCGTCGAAGCGGGGAGAGCGGCGGCGTGGATACGAGTGGGACAGACGCGCTTTCTCCTTTGGAGAGTGGCGAGACAATGGCGTAAGTTTCACCCTTTGCACACCTTGCATCGCCGTCCTCTTGACCCCTCTTCTGAGGCGACAGTGAAAAGCGCTTGGCGGCGCTACTGAAGATACCTTTGACGGTGCTGCTTGCTGCTGACGCCCAGGAAGCACTTTGGTCAGCGGAGGTATCCGCTGAAGACTTGGCGGGGAGCAGTGTGGACGTAGATGCGGATGGCTGTTGTTGCTGTTGCTGTTGCTGTTGCTGGTTAAGGGATGTTTGTGCAGTTGAAAATCGTAATGAGCCAGGCGGCAATGTTGCGGAGGAAGAACGCGGCAGAAACGATTGGTACAGTGTCGCCATCTTGTCTCGCAACCGTTACGTTTCGGGCTCGGTCGGCGGCGGTGATAACCTTCACAGGACGCCGGTG